ATCAAGTATCTTTGATAACTTCATGAGTTAAGAGACTACGAAGCAAAGTATCAATACCTCCTGACACTCCGTAATACAACGTGACCAATAATAACTCTAATCATAACGGGCGATAAACGTACACAATTCTTTTTACCTTTTATTCCTGGCGATATTTATAAGGAATTTATCGTCAGCTACCGGGGATAGTTTGAGAGAACATCCCGCAGACAGGAACGATGTCGGTGGATAGGAAGGAAATACTCACGCGGGAGGGAACGCCGTTGATTCTACCTCGTTTATAAATTCCTGATAACGCCTCGTACCGTGCCACAACTCAGCCACTGGGATCAACACTGATCGCTTAATTGCTAACTTCACGGCTGTAAATTCCGCTCGTGTTGTGATTCTATTTTTTCTTCACTTATATTCTAATCGTTCTTTGTATATTTCTTTAGAGTGCTTGGATCCCCTTGAGTTATTTATCAGAAGGAAACGTAATTTTATAAGGAGTAATTGTGGAGCGATGAAGACTTCTCACACATACGTTGCTGTGTGTTGATGTCTTTATCCTCTGGGGGAAAATTGCACTCACATCGCCCCAAACAAACGAGTATAGTAAATGCTTCACTAAAGGGAGGGGTCAGCCGCTGTTGTATTCAGTTACTTGTGGTTCTTCAGCCTCGTGAGGTCATGTGCCTGTGAACCTCTGACCTTACCACAGGAGGGAGTGACCTGTAGAGAATGACCAAGAGGTACCAGAGAGTCACTTCACGTTGGTCAGGACGTTGTACCCCAGTGACGGAACTCTTAATTACAGATAAATCTTAAGGTTCCTCTCATGGTTAGCTTTTGCCACTGTGTGTGTGTGTGTGTGTGTGTGTGGTGTACGTGCATATGTGTGTGTGTGGTGGGGGGGGGGGTACGGATGTGCATGTGTGTTGTCTCAGGAGCTTCACCTGGCCCTCATAACGTGAATTTGTTTACACAGTGTGGTGAGGGGCTGCGGGTTCCCCTCCGCGCCAGACCACACCAGTATCGACCAGGGGCACCAACTGCCCATTGTGACTTCTCTGTTTACACTAAACAAATGCCTGGAAATCCGGAAGACAAGACAATTATGGGAGGGGAAGGAAACGCTGTAAAGTTTGTTTATGAGTAAATAAATTTCTCCAAAACATTGTAGTCAAATAAGAAATTTCAGTTTCAAAAAGAATTTGTTAGAAAAATTTAGGGGTTTTGTGGTTTTAATATTATTAATGTAAAAGTTCAACAACTCTAGAGAAGAGTTAATCATTTTTCTATAAAACTTGTGTTATAACATACGATCTATAGTTATAGAAGCTTAGAAGTTATCAATTTATTTAGCAGTGTACAAAGTTGAGAACTATTAGTTAAAATCAATATATTAGACCTAATGCCTTTGGGCTGCACGCCAGGTCGACAAAGCGATGGCAGAGAGAAGAAGCAGACAAGGGAACAGGTAGCCACAGGTCCCCAAGACAGTTAAGGGTAAATGTCTAAAACAGCATTTAAGTTATGATCCGGGTATTTAAGGACTAAGGGGGTGGGAGGAGCTTTGGGTTTAGGCGGGAACACCTAACTCGGGTAATCACCGTGCAAGTGTTTAAACCCTTTCATTTTTATCTAGCATTTCTATATAAATGACTATGTCTTGACTATCACCTTTATATTGCTAATTTTACTATTTCTTTATATTTAACACTTTTTAAATGTTCACTATAGACATAAATGAACGTGGTGTTACCGATGGTCAAACCATTAGCTGCTTTGAGGAGTGGCAGCTGTTAGGCGGTGTTGTCAGTAGAAAGCCGACAGGTTTTTACTATACATATTTACATGTAGTAAAATATGATAATTCGTCATAATATATAAAGTATATTCTGAATCCCTGGAGAACAACCTCACCAGCAACCGTTATAATGTATTAGGTCCATAAACGGTCCCTTCACCACGAGGACGCCACTTTCAGTATTTTATTTGGTCAACACGAGACTTTTATTATACAGAGAGGGGACCCCGTACACAAGAGTGGTTAGGAGCCTGTGGACGAACTTAGAGATTTCTGTCACTCGTAATGTTGAATTGTTGATGGAATAGTGTAATTGCTCGCCTAGTTACCTACTTCATGACCTAGTTGTTGAAGCACAGTAATATCATTATAACAACAACAACAACAACCTGTGAAAGATGTTTAGTTCTTACACCGATTAATAACACTTATAAAAGAAATATTCTCTATCTGATCAGATTAAAAAAAACTACGGTTACTTTATCAGATAAAACACCTGCAATCATTTGTTTGTAGTTCCCGACGGAAAAAAAAATCAGTGCTCAGAATTTTCAGTTGCTTACCCTTTACTCTGTACGTTTTCTAAGAAGTAGTTCTACTGTCACAGAAAACGAATTCTTCGAGAATTTCACGGGGAAGCACCGAGTGTTTGTCGTCGATAACTTTGTACATTGGATATGTACTTAATTACTTAATGATCACTAACACCAGTCAAGGAGGAGAGTCAATAAGTTAATCTTGGCCCAAGGAGCTCACGGTGTCACTGAAGAGATTTAATCTTCTGTCTCATAAACTTTTAATGCTTTACTTCTTAATTCTCATATAATCTTTGAGATATTATTCATAGCTTATATTGTATTTCGGTTTTCAAGAAAAGGACAGTAGCTTTATCTGTTTGAGTTTATCTTGATGAGCGATATGGGTTGGGTGTAAACGGGACTGTCCAGTATGGGGCAATAGGCCGCTGCAGTTTCCTCCATTCTCATATTCAAATGTTCTTATCTCTCTCTCTCTCTCTCTCTCTCTCACTTGACCCTCAAGTGAAAAATGTTGTACACACCAGTATTTTATTTTATTTTATTTTACCGTATGTCGATATTGATTTAAGATATTAATGGTGTCCGCTCTAGATCTACGGCCGAGAAGTAAAGAGGAAAGTCGACACTGAAACGTCATTGTTATCGGTGGACGAAGGAAGGGATATATGGGAATCATTATTTGTATCGTTTATTTTTATCGTTCTTTAAGGAGCTTTAAGACTTTAGTTAGAAATTCATTGTTCATGTTTTTTTTTTGTTTTTTTAAGGATTTCGACCCCCCGTATGGAAGAAGAAATATTATTCATTAGTATTCATGAACACATTATTATCATGGGGAACATTAGTTGATGTTTGAGTTACATTATGTAGGAAACTCACTAGGTCAAACTCCTGCGTTCATTATCTTTCTGTTCGTGATGAATATATAAAAGTGTCACTACTTTATTTTCCTTGTTTATGAATGCTCTACGTGTCAGTGATCCCTTGAAAGTATCTGAAGAAATAGACACAATCTTATCTGTTTTCGAGGCCTTTCATATACGCATTAACTAAACACCGTAGAAGGTTGCTGGGACGCTGAGAGCTGACATATTTCTGATAATATTAAGAATGACCATGTAAACAGCTTCTCAAATTGTATCATCTTTAACAGTTAACCTAAGTTACAGAATGGTGAATGATATATATATTGAGTGAGTCATCAGTATTAATGTAATCTCTTAGTTTACTAATACCATTGGCAATCAAGTCTTAAGGATTTATCCCAATATAAGTGAATAAAAAGGTGTAGATCCTAATTATATGGTGTTTAAAGGTGGATGACACAGAGAAAACAAGTGTATTTATCGTGTGAGGGACAGATAGATGTCTTGATCAGAGGAATAAATATATTTCCCATCACGTTTTTAATGAATCATCCAGTAGACACAGAAGACGAGCACTGGTGTAAAGGTACAATGACCCGTAGGAAAAAAAACTCAGAAACCTAATACATAACAGTCCACAAGTTTTATACCTCTTAAACTTGGTATTGAATTCATAGTTGTAGAATGGTGTTATGAACTGTGTATGAACGGTGAAGTTAAATTCTTACACTTCATTAAAACAAGTAGGCTACATCTGACGCTCCTGTGGTGAGAGGACAATGAGGTTATCACCCGGGAAGGGGGGTGGGGGGGGTGAGGGGGAGGGCATTGAGGGAACAGTAATTATGTAGTTAACTAAATCTATTACACAGAAAAAAGGCAGAGTTAAAACATTTAAGCTTGTACTTGTTCCCTAAAGCGTCATTTGGTATACTTGTATACTGTATAATATGCGTGAAATCAGGTGTAACGTTATGTAACCAATAGAGCCAACATATTGCATGATATATGGCCTGTCATATGGTAATAAAGCGCACACACAGAGGTGCGGGAGAGTCTTGTGTAAGAAAGTATCTCAGCCACTGGGTATTTTAGACCCCGAGTTGCAGGCTGTTTCCTTATGTTGTGCTGAACTTTCCTGATATATTCCTTATCCATCACTGTTGTTTCTCAAGAACTTATCATGAAACATTCCTCCACATTATTCCTGCCAAAAGGTATTGATTACTAGACTATAGCGATAAGGCAGACAATTGAGATGAGATATAGGGTACTGTTGATAGCGAGGGTAATGACCAGCTAACAAGGTCTTACATTAAGGTCGGAGTCACTCGTGTGTTAACGGCATCACGGGGAGCACAGGTCGTTGCCCCTTGTCCTTGAGCTCGCTAAACTCTCGCCTGGTGGTGGTGTGATGGTGGTGGTGGTGGTGAAGTGGTGGTGTATAAAGTGAAAGAGGTGGTGGTAGTGGTGGTGTAGTGGACATGGTGAATAAGACGATGGTGTGACGAGCAAAGTATAAGTGGTGGTGGTGTGGTGGTTGTGGTGAAGGTTGCAGTAGAGTGTGGTGGATACCCTGAGCATGGTGAATGTGTGGTGGATATGGTGACGGTGGTGGTGAGGTAGCGTCACCCCAGCGGCGGGCTGTGATGTAATGATGTGATTGTGTCGTCGTTCACGCCCTCGAGGCATAAATAGTGTTATGAGCAGGACAGGCGACAGCCCAGCCAATGTTTCTTGATTCTTCGTACAACTGATGACATATATATATATTTTTTTAATGTATCTTATTTTCACTGATTTATGTTGACGGTAAACAGGTATATTTGTGGCCACTGTATAATGTACACGTAATTGGAAGCCATTCGCCAAATAAATTACGTATATACCATGTCTCTCCACTTACCATGGAGTTACTAAGCGAACGAATTGAAACGAAACATGACTTTTACATAGGATTCGTATCAACCATCAGGACACACAGCAATCACTCCAATGACTGAAACACAAGTGACGATGACGAATTCTCTCGGAGCGTTTACAGGGGGCAGCAGCCGACGCGGGAGTGCCAGTGTCACCGAGGCTGAGTGCAAGGACGGGACCACCTGTTCCTCCACCGACCTAAGGAAAATTATCAATGCTAGAGAGGAGAGCCATCACATGGGGGCGGAGGTGAAAAAGCAGGATGCTGCCACCCAGATGAGACCTCCTGACGGAGGTTGGGGCTGGCTGGTGGTTCTAGGATGTGTCCTCATTATGGTAAGTTCCGATAATTCTAATATGATCTGGAGTTAGTTCAGATTAATATTAAGTTTTGATAAGCAAATTTAAATGTAAAGATCAGTGTACCTCTTCCTTATACACTATAGTGACTCGGGGTAATTTGTGTGTAAAGAAAAAGTAAAACTGACCTTATAGTGATAATAAGAGACATAATCTTTAGTGTAAATAAACTAAATGTTCAGTTGATCTAATATTTGTAGACGACCAAGGGCTCATAAGTGTCTAAAATAAACAAACACACGTAGATGAGTACAAACTGTTCTCAACCTTTTTCAGAATCTGGCATCAGCTTGAGAGTTTATTAATCAGAAGTGTTTGAGATTTTAACACCCGTTTACTAAGACTTTTATTTTTATTACGGAGTGTGTTTTTTATGTTGTTAATAAACAATGAAGAGGAGCGTTCATTAAGCCAATTACAAATATAATAATCTTATAAATGCCGAACGAATTTTGGCCGTAACATGCACGTGACTAATTCACGTGTTATTGACCCTTGACCAGATATTATCAGTAGTCGACCATTGGTCTCTGCAGTGAAGGTAAATCGTGGGTCGGGCACATTACCCTATCCAAATTAGGTAAGAATAAACCCTCGCGTACACTTACAACAAGCTGGTATTTTCATAAGGGTTGTTCTCAACCTAGAATGTGGTTATTTAACCTGAGAATATAGTTATAGTCATTCATTGTTAGTGACAGTCTTATAGAAATGATACCTCGATATATAGAAGAACAGACCTGTATTTATAACTACTTTTAATCACTAAACTTCGACAAAATGCAAATAATGTATTTTTTTTTCTTGTAGACATTGAGCTCCTTATTCGGCATCTGCTTTGGCGTGATCTTCTCCCGGTACCTGATGGAGGAACGCTCTTCGTCCAGCACCAACGCCTGGATCTTCAACACCATGTATTGCCTCTGGAATATGACAGGGATCTTCATACGGCCTCTCACCTCGGAATTTGGCTGGCGGAAGGTCGGCGTCTTCGGTGGTCTCCTGTGCTCTGTGTCATACGTCATGTCGGCCTTCACTCCCTCACCAGAGTTTCTTTTTTTCTCGTTCTCGCTGTTGGGTGGTACGTGATGTATTGTGATACACTTTAGTTGTAAGAGCAGTTTGGTGCATGGCTACAGTTAAGTAACCCAAGAAAACCTAAGGTTCAATTTACTCTCATTAAAGTTTGAATGAAATATGAAACAAATAATAATTAAAATATACAATGAATTTATATAATATATTCATTGGAATACTAAGTGAAAACTCACTTTCAGTTACCCATCGCCTCTATAATTAGATTCACTTTTCATATTCAGGAAGTATTTTCATGTCACATACACAATTGTTTTGACTTTCTGGGGTTAGGTGTTAAGTGCACACACATCTTCCCCTCAGGCGTAGGTGCAGGGATGATGGTGACGATGTGCCTCGTCATCGTGCCTCTCTACTTCGACAAAAAGCGAGGTGTGGCGAATGCTATAATGCTGGGGGGAATGTCTTTCGGGCAGATCGTGGCTCCACCAGTCGTCCGCTTCCTGCAAGACGAATTTAGCTTCCGAGGAGCGACCATGATTTTGGGAGCCCTTGTGCTGCACGGCTGCCTGGGAGCCTCCTTTTTCCACCCCATCGAATGGCACTTGAAGAAACCCACGTTACAGAGAGAGAGCTTGCCTCCTGAAGATGAAGCGCCGATGATATCACCAAAAGAAAGCAAGTTATGCATCAGTGAAGGTTTAGTGAACTCTCAGTCGCCAGTAGCATTTGCTATCAGAACAGATGACCTGGAGGCTGACACAATGAGAGCACGTGGTGGACGACCCTTCGTCAGTGAAACCTCCAGCGAGTCGAGAAAAAGCTCATCCCTCTGCACCTCTACGCTGGACCTTAACGACATCGAAACAGTTACTGACGCTGATCAAAGAGACGAATATCATCCCGACGATGAGGACCCCCAGAAAACATCATCCTCCGTCTGTTCCGTTATGTTCAGAGTACTGAGGTCAACGATATCAGACTTGGGCATCCTACGGTCACCACGAGCCTGCATCATCGCCGTCGCCAAGAGTCTCAGCCTCAACGCTGGTCTTAACTTTATGATGATCGTACCCTTCGCGATGCAAGCAGCAGGACATACGCTGGATGACTCGGCTTGGTGCATCTCAGTATTGGGGATGTGTAGTCTTTTGTTCCGGATCTTGGTGTCTTCACTGTCAGACTGCAAGAGATTCAACACCCGAGTCTGCTACGTCTTCGGCTTCGCTCTGATATCTTTCTCAACGTTCAGTAAGATATCACATTATCCATATTCTTCATCATATATGAGCAATATTTTGACTAAAGATAGAAATTAAATCTTATCCTTTGTATATTCCAACCATCTCTCCGTCTCCCCCTAGTCTTTCCGCTCCTGACTGACTTGACTTGGTTACTGGCGACAATGGCGCTGCTGGGATGCGGTATCGGGGTCAACATGGGCGTCGCCAACCTCGTCATGATTGATGTTATGGGACGCAAGAAGTTTCCGACCACTTTTGGGGCCAGCTGTTTCACGGGGGGTGTTGGCTTCATCTGCCTGGGGCCTCTCCTTGGTAAGTGATGTGATTTAGTAGTTGAGTGTATGGTCTCTTGATTGGTGGATGGATTGACTGATGAATTGGTGGATTGTTCGGATTAATAATTGACCTGGTTGATGGTTCCATTGAATAATTAATATGTTAATTGATCTTAATTGGAATATTTTGACTAATGAACTCCTCGAGTGATGGATTCAAGAAATAATAATGTAAAAAAAATCAATATCATCGTTATTACTATTATTAATTATTATTATTATTATTATTATTATTAATATTATTATTTTTATTATCATCATCTCCACAGGGGTCATCAGAGACACCAGTAACAGCTACGCTCTCAGTATATTAGTAATGGCTTCTATGCAGTTAACCAGCTTTACCCTGTGGCTCTTTATGCCTGCTGCTATCCGCTACGACGAACGCAAAACGAAGGAAGAGGACGAGGAGAATAACTAACCGAAAAGCAATGAAGGAAATTCTAAGTGAGAGAAGAAAGGGATTAAAATACTTAAGAATACGTAATACTATTGTAACTAACAGAACACTATAACAACAGGAGTTTAATGCGTTGATGATATAAACGAATTTTTGGCGTGAAATATTTTCGTTCATATGATTTGCTTTACTAGTGAATAAAATTATAATATGAAATAACCCAGGCGATTGTCTTGTTGTCGTCATCATCGCAAAGTGTGTGTGCGCGCGCGCCACTCACTCAGGCAGGATAGGCTACCAGTGTTACCAGCCGTACACAGACTTAGTGACCCTTGCTTGAAGACTTAAGCTATTGAACCAAGTTAATACATCACAACAATAGTAAACGACGTCAAGGAACCAATGCATGATATAAGTTATTGTATTAGCCAATGAGTCGAGGATGGTGGCAACACATACAGGAACTCCATAAGGCAACAGTGGTCTTAAATCTGTACCCGGACTTGGACGTCACTCTTCACTTGTTACGTGTTGTCATTTTATCTGGAGTTTAGATCATAATTGTTCACTATTTCTCTTATATCATTCACTCTTAATTCCTTATATTATTCTAAGAGTTCAATTATAAATAATATTAGTCCTAATTTTGTCATTATTTTGTATCTATTTTATGGTGGAATTTTCTCATTATATTTTTGTCTATTTTATGTAAACAAAAATACATTGGAATTTATAGTTATTTAGTTATTTATTGATTTATATTTTGTTCTGATATCTTATGATGGTTTGTGTTTTTTGTGTAACTAGTAATTATATTGTTGTTTTATGTTGTGCATGACTCTTAGCTGAAATAAAAGTTACTATTACACTATTATTATTATTATTATTATTATTATTATTATTATTGTTATTATTAGTAGTAGTAGTATTATCATTATTATTATTATTATTATTTTATTATTATAAGTATTATTGTTATTAAAGAAAGAGGACAAATATTAATAATAAGCCTTACGAGAAAATTAGGAAACTTAAAAAGCAAAATAAAAAAGAAAGAGAAAGGTAAAAGAATAAACGAAAAGAGAAAGACAGAGAACGGGGATGAAAAATAAAAGAAATAAACAAAACTGCGACCCAAAGAACAAGCCTTCCTAGCGTGGACACCAGTCTGTTATGCTCACGGTTTCGAGCTGTAGGCGTTATTGTTTGCACCCGTGAAACCCTCCGTTTCCAAAATAAAAGCGAATACTGATGTGAAAATTATGGTATTATTGCATCGTCACCCGGTACTGAGTAAGGGGAATTTGGTATGTGCAATCAATAGTTTAGACAATTTTCTTCTATGACGTTTCCCTCGCAAATGACTTACATATATCGGTTAAGAGGATAGGTAAGGTAATTTTACGCCATTAGCAAGGGAAAATCATAAAAGAAAAGTGTCTTGGAAATTTAGAATTGTCTAAACTGTCGGAAAATATAGTTTTCTCTTAAAAATGCACACTGGGTGACTAATGCAAATCGCCAAAATTATGGTAGTTCAGTGTGTTTGTAATGGTATTCCTATTTCGTGTGTTTTTCTTGGTGTTAACCTTATTGTTTATGGAAAGTGTTGCCAGGTAAATAACTTCGTTTACTTCTCTATACTCAGGGGAGAATCCAGGGAGGGGGTTCGAACCCCCTTTTCATCAGAAAATTACAATAATTTTTCTTAAATACAGTATTGTACGCAGGAGTTTTTTGTATAGTAAAATGTAATTACTATTGACCTCAGAATATCTCCTAATATCATTTGCACATGGCTTCAAAATGGCCTTAAAATGCCCAGCTGGGTGGGTGTAACAGCACCATTTGCGTTATATAAATATTCACCCAAATGTATAATACCAAATTATTCACCAAGTTATTCAACTGTGCTTCAGCTGTTGACATTAAACATGGCTGAGGTTGTAGTTCCTTCTGGAAGTGAGCGAGGTCAGCTCATGTTATCAAAACAGTATATCTGACGTGTTTCCTTTCTCACACTCTACAGTAGAGGGCAGACGAGGTCTCTCGATATAGAGACAGAAGAGAGATCAGACTCATATCATTTGCTACCCAGTGAACACCCCAACTTAAGTGTTCTCCTATAAGTGCACTAAGACACTTCCCTTAGCAGAGAAGGTACAATATACTCTCAACTGAACTAAGTACCTGTGAAACTATATTTTTCTATACTAAATAAAAACCAGCAAAGTGTTTACTTCATCTCAGCCACTTACTAGTTCCAGAACTAATATATATATATATATATATATATATATATATATATATATATATATATATATATATATATATATATATATACAGTGGGGTATGCTATAACGAACGTAATTGGTTCCAGAACCTCGTTCGTTATAGCATTCGTTCGTTATAGGATTAATCCGTTCCACGCCCCCAAATACAACCACTTAACACTGAAACAATTCTGTGGAAAATGTAAAAAATACGGTACTTTATCTTACCTTAGTGTTATTCAGCATGCAGGTACCCCTCAACACTGGCACAGCACAATGGAGTCTTGGCTTTAAGGTCCTCAAACAATTGTCTGGTCTTCTCACTTCACTAATGTTACCACCTGCCATTTCTTTCTCCTTTATCCACACTAAGAGTAAATTTTCCATCTCTTCAATCACATTACACTTTGCTTTGCTAAGTCTAAAGATTCCCTTAGCCACTTGCACTGTTTTTAACTCCTCTTTATTCTTCAAAATCGTACATATAGTCGATTTAGCCATCCCATACATCACTAAGTTTCGTAATGCTTCTTCCATTCTCACGTTTCTTTATAATTTCTTTCTTAGTTTCAAGGGTTATTAGCTTTCTCACTCGCTTTGGACGATTCATTGTTACAATTGTATACTTGTACAACAAAATGGTTGTACAAATAACGCGAATTTCCACATTAAAAGACGAAATTTCAACAATAACAGTGGTGCACAATGAGACAAAGATGGCGCCTGACGCTCTTGTTGTGGGTCGCGGTACAACAATATTCATGCGCCAGGTGAAGTAGTCCCGTATTCATCCGCGTTCGTTGTAGGAGTTGCGTTCGTTATAGCATTCTCAATTTTATAGGTAAAACCGTTCGTTATAGCATACCCCACTGTATATATATATATATATATATATATATATATATATATATATATATATATATATATATATATATATATATATATATATATCCACAATTGGATAAGATAAATCTTGATGGGAAAATGGAAACAACTGCTTCTTTGTTCCAAAGAATATATATATATATATATATATATATATATATATATATATATATATATATATATATATATATATATATATATATTTGTGTGATATATATATCTATAAAAAAACCAAAACATGGACTAACTGTGCTCGCCATGTTTTCCTACCCACAAAGTTCTTCTCAAAGTTCTTTTCGGACCCCCCCCCCCACCTTTTGGTATTCCTGGATCCGCCCCTGATACTCTACAGTAGTCTACAGCTTACCTAATAGAAACGCTTTATAACTTTTTCAATAGTTTGCGTTGAAAATGGTTTTCTAATAAGATTTTCTTGTTCCACAGAAAAAAGTATTCCCAAGATTTTAAGGGGTAACAAAAACAATTTAACCCAGCATACTTGACCGCATTTGTTGTTTAATGGTTATGATTTTTGCCTATTTTCGGTTGATATTCAGCACTAATTTTAATATTTTAACAACCAAAGAGTGTCTGGTACAACACCATCAGCCTCAGTAGGTTCAAAGATGGTCAAACTCACAGGATATCAAGCACTAGTAAGTGTGATGTTGCCGGAATCAGTGGCTGGAAATGTGACGTGTGCTTGAAGATTTCACAAGTTCAAAATCCAAGACCAGACTTAACCAACACTGGCGCAGGAGCACATATATCCTGGAACCAGTACATGCTCAGTACTTGCCAACAGTGCGTAACAGAGACGTAACCGATCGCTCAGGCGGGTAACGAGCCGTTCAGCATCGAAGAGGATAAAGTAAATTAAAGTATTGATACAACTCTCTCACTTGTTTCACGTGGGTCTGGGGTAAAGGTTAAGGAAATCCGACACTACAGAAAATAGCATATATTTTCCTGATATTTATGCCAGCAGGAGGCTTATCAAAAATATTATTCTCGATCATAATGAAAGATTAATTAACTCTGTACTAATGTTAACTTCTTATAGCTGATCCCTTCAGGTAGGTAAAAAGCCAACAGAGTTAACAACAGTTACATAGAATACGTAAAGAAATATAAATACTATATATATACACGACAAAAACATAGAACAATACGTAAGAAATTCGAAATAATTTGCATACAGCAGGCGATGGCACGGACACTGTACTGTAGGTGGTTAAAGGTCGAAAGAATGAGGCCCCACCACGAGGCACGAGAAGGTTAAATTAGACTTCACCATCACTACAGCGAGAAAATTTAGTAACACCTACGTATATGGTGACGTACTGGTAGGATAAATACAACAGTGGCAGTGGTTGTGCCTCGCCCTACACGCAGACGGCAAAGTGGCGTTATTTCTTACACATACACACACTCACACACACATGCACACACACAAACACGTACACATACGCACATGTTGCGCACACACACACACACATACATACATAAACATCGGCTCTTATTTACTGGCATCAGGAAGGCTCACCTGGTTTGAGGTTATGACTGAACAGTGTTAGACGAAGCTGGGTGTTATCTATAACATTATATAATATATATTCATAATATTTCTGAGAGAAGTTTAAGCAGCAAGGAAAGAAAATAAGTAACTACTGTACTAGGAAAGTAAAGTAAGACAAACTGTTCCTACTTAACAAGGAAGAGCCAATAACTGAGTAATAAATTAGTCGTTAGAGAGAAATACTATTGACACAGTTCTGGTGTAAAAACTGAAGGAATGATTGTTCATAAATTACAAATTAATCCTAAACTGATGTTTGCGTTAGGCGACAGTGGACACGAGGAAGTGGATAATATTGTGTATTGGGATATAAAAATATATTGTAATGGTAGATGTGAGAGAGAAATAAGAACAAGAATAAATCGAGTAGAAAAAGCATTTAACCATTTGAGAGATTAGTTAAAAAAAAGGAGAGAAAATTTCAGGTTGACAAAAAAGGTTGTTTATACACGAAGTTTTGTCCGGGAAGTAAACACTGTCAACATACACCATAAGGAGGCTGGAGGTGTAGTGGTAAAGTTGATGTAGAAACAAATGAAGAGAGACAGACTATTATCATATAAATAAGTTAATTGTGTCTAATTCATAAATAATCGATTGGTATCACAAGAATCTGCCACTCCCAAGGGAAAAAAGTTTTGTGTCTTCTTTTCGGTCTTTATCATGAGTGTGTTAGTACAAAAGGCGGGTACTGGCATTCGGCTTCCTATGAGTTGGGTCCTGGGTCCTGAGAACAGTCTTGCTGCTGAGAACAGTTCTTGGTGCTGCAAACGTCGATCTTGAGGTGCTAAGACTTATGTCTCTTGGTAGTTTAAAGATGAGTTTTGTTTTACTGACTCATAAGTCATAGATGCTGAGTGATGATTCGTTACGTTAACAGGACGCTGACGTCTAAGCCCCTGAAAGGGTAGAAAGGGTCGCCTGGCGCTGATGAAAGGCTCTTGCTACCGTTCGTCCATTCGAGTATGAGATAAAATCAAGTTACAATAAATGCATTATGCCTTCTTTAAAGTTCGTATTTATCTCGTGTTCTTAATTTTTCCTTTTCAATTCACTTTCCTTAGTTTATAATGTACCTTCTTTTTTCATTCATCTCTCCAAAAATTTTCTTCCACGTTTATCCTCCTTCCTCCTCTTATCTATATTTATCATTACTTATCCTCTACCTAATCTTAATCTACGGTTTAGACTTCTCCTTTTCCTCTCTCTCCTTCATCTTGCGTTCGTCGTAGCGGATAGCAGCAGGCATGAAGATCCAAAGCATAAAGCTGGTGAGAAGCATACCAGCCACAACCCATATACTGAGACTGTAACTGTTGGTACTGTCTCTGATGATCCCTGGTGAGAAAATAATGCATCGTGAATAATAATAATAATAATAATAATAATAATAATAATAATAATAATAATAATAATAATAATAATAATAATAATAATAATAATAATAATAATAATAATAATAATAATAATCACGGGTACCAGGTTCTTAGTAATCTTTTTTTTTCCCATCTTTTAACCCCATAAGTACGATACCATTATTTCTCCCCATCTATTAATTATTCCTCCCTACCCAACTGTTTTTTCTCCCCAAAATAGGATATTCCCCTATCTAGTGTTTCTCCCCATCTACAACTGGCGCTCCCTTTAATGTGATATGAGAGGGGAGGGGAGATGCTGGGGGAAAAGAACAATAAATTAAGATGAAAGTGTACTGTGCATGGGAAGGATGGGTGGACAGAGTGGTGCTGGCGGGCAAAACTCTGGAGTGACTGAATGTTAGGTAATCAATTAGCACAAGATTATGCACTAGATGTTCTCTACTGGGGCGAGGAAAGCGACAGTACATACGTGTTTGCGAGGCTCAATTCCCCCATCACCCTCCTTAACCTCCTCTTATTTTCACCTGCCATTCAACACACCTTCGAGGCCATTGCCGGACTAGATGAAACTGATTATATCCTTCTCACGTTTCTCTGGCTTAGTCTTACATAAAAATAACTGCATGTGATACTGACGATCGTCTTGCTAGAGTAATAACTTAGAAAAATGACATAGAAACTACTGGACTAGTGTGAAACGTCGGGGAAATGACACACTAAGTAAACCACTATCACTCATTAACCCAAGATGACAACCGTCACTACAAAGAGCATCAATCTCAGGACTCGGTGTCAACAGATTGTGTACACGAGACTACGCCTGGGCTACAAGTGCCCCTGGAAATAAAAAGACAAATAAGTGTGTGTGTGTGTGTGTGTGTGTGTATGTGTGTGTGTGTGTGTGTGTGTGTGTGTGTGTGTGTGTGTGTGTGTGTGTGTGTGTGTGTGAATTAGGAGAAAGAGAAAGAGAGAAAGAACTTGGGCAGTGATAATCAAGCATACAAGATATGAAACACACACACACACACATGCATATAACATAAAATATTTTCCAAATTTAAGTAAACATAACGAATATTAAACAAGCTTAATCGTTAATATTTTAAGTCAGATTACTTTGTGTCGACTTTGAAACTTTCGATCGATTCTACCTAAATCAAGGCTCGATCATCAAGGTGTTATTAATGCGGTTTGCCCTTGTAGCTTTCCTACTGTAAGTGCAAGGCCAACAAGCTATGAATGTTAATATTTACAGTAGGTCATCCCCTTGGGCAAAATGTGAAGTAAAGTCTCACCTCTGTCTTTCAAGATTCAGAACTAAAGTGTCCAAGTTGTTTAAAAAAATCTTCGATATATCTATTAATATATGCTGATAACCACAAGGAAAGAAGAAAACACGAAGTTCCCAAGCTTCTCTCTAGCTTCTAGAGAGAAGCTAGACTAATGTTTACATATTGTTTCATGATCATCTCTCTAGACACGTAATGCCCACCTACACGTTGGTCATGAGCGGCAAGAATTACTAGTTGAATATTCACCTGATGGCAGCCGGGTGAAAGCGCCTTTGGATTTCTTACAGCGTATTATATTGTTTTATCGTTTACATAACAGTCACACAACAAGATGACAACACAGCAAGCTTCCCTTCAATGCACTTAGCCAATAGAAGGATATATATAGCAAGAAATAAAACAAAAATACAAGAAAAATATGATAAGAGATCACATACGTAAAATATTAGGCCTACAGATTGAATGTCAAAACCACACCTCAGAAGCGTATTAAATACCAAACAACAAGGTCACGTTGTTATTGAATCGGTTCTTGAGAAAGTAGGTGACGGTCAATGACTCAGTATCAGCCCAACTCAATCACTAACCAATCAGTCACTAATCAATCAACCTCTAATCTTTCAGTCAAAAAAATTAGGCAGTCTCTAATCAGTCCATCTTTAATCCATCAATCTATAACACAAAGAAAATTCGATAATTACCAATGATAGGTCCTAGAATGATGAAGCCCATGGCCACCATAAAGCAGCTGGCCCCGAAAACAGGTGGAAGGTTGTCCAGACCCATGACGTCGATCATAACCAAAGTATAGAGACCCATGTTGGCCCCAACACCACAACCAAACAGAGCCATCGCTGCCATCAACCACGGCAGCTCGGTCAGGAACGGGAACACTAGAGTGGGGAATGAAACGTGAGTGGTGTTGGAAAATGTATGAAAATAATAATGATGCTGAAAATACTACTACTACTACTACTACTACTACTACTTTGTTTTTTTACGTGGCCTCCAGCCTCCCCTAATAGCCATACCTTCGCCGCCATTTTATTACCTTAATATTAAATATCCTAATATATAAGTAGCTATCCTATCTGTGTTGAATTAGTTGAGCCGCAGATCTATGCGGCATTCAGTGACTGTAGCCTCATAGTCAATATCTGCAGCAGTTGTCGGCATTGGGGCAGAAGCTCTCGTTCCCCTGAGGCAGAGCAAAGCCGAGCGAAGGAGAGAGAAAGACAGTCGACATCTCATCCAGGCTGTAACATAACTTCTGGGCTGCTGCTTCTGTTCGGAGATGACCTCCGAGAGTCTGGCGTAGAAACATCTTGCTACTACTACTACTACAACTACTACTACTGCTAATAATAATAATAATAATAATAATAATAATAATAAATGCCATACAGTAGTCTTGACGGCACATTAGGGGCAGTGTGGATACACTACACTGTATACCAAGCCTTCAGTACACATTGAATCAGTGTGGCCAGTACTACACTGCATTCCACCGTTTTGTCTCTGTAGTTTTATGTAGTCCATGTTGCTGAATATTCCATGAAACAATTATATAGCCATACAGCCAATCTGCGTTATTTTACAGACACATCTGATGAAAAAAAAAGGTGTAATATGTGATCAGATGATATATATTATCGCCTTACCTAATATAGATAAAGATACTGTGAAGTAGCCGGAGACGTAGACAAGTCGCTTGTTGAACCTTGGCCAGTCTGACAGCGTCGCCACCAACAGCCGCATGAGGAGGTTGCATAAGGCTGAGATGGAGATGCAATAGGCGGAATCCTCCAGCGTCTGACCTGCAGCCTGCATCGCAAACGGCACCATCATCATGAAGTTGAGATACCCATTAATGCCGAAAGTCCCGGAGAGGGCGATGATGCAGGCTCGTGGTGACCTCAGGATGCCCATGTCAGCTACTGTGGACTGAAATACTCTGAACACGACAGAACAGATGGACGGCAATGTTTTCTTGGAGTCGTCGCTGTCCAAGTTCGATGGGTCATTTTGGTCGGTGTCAGGCATGGCAATAATACCGGCAACATCCAGTGTGGATATGCAAAGAGACGAGTTATTTCTCGAGATGGAGATGGTGGAGGCATCGCTGAGGTGTCGTCCAGCGCGTGATTTCATCATTCTTGAGCGAACTGCAATGCGCATCAAGTCAAAGTCTGGGTCACCCGTACTGTCCGTAAGCGACAGCTCAGAGTGACACTTCACCAACTCTCTACTTCTGCTGCCCAAAGTGCTTGGTTCTGGTGGCAACAGAGGTGCCTCGCCTGCCAGAGGTTGGTTCCCTGCCTGTGGCTGACCTTTCTTCATGTGCTGCTCGACGGGGTGGAAGAAGGAGGCCCCCAGGCAACCGTTCAGAATGATGCCTCCAACCATCAAGGTCGCTCCTCTGAAGCCATACTCGTCTTGCAAGAAGCGTGCAATAGGTGGACCTAGCATCTGCCCCAGGCATACCCCAGCCATCATGATTGCAGTTGCCACCCCTCGCCTGCGATCGAAGTAGATAGGCACGATCAAGAAACAGATCGACACCACCATCCCTCCGCCTACGCCTAAGAACAATATCACTGTTAATTTATATATCATTACAGAACAAGCAAAACATATTATTTATTATCACAAGACAAACTATTCTGAATCATTTATCAACACAAACTTTTCTCTGGTTGTGATCATTATGTGTTGGCACTGAATTATATGATCTACAGATGAACGATGTTTTACTCTGTAAATTATTTCATAACAACAACACGAAAAAAGAAACTATTACAATACAGTAATAAAAAAAGCTCCAACTTAAGAACACGTACCACACAAGAGGGAGAACGAAAAGAAGAGGAATTCAGGGCAGGGAGCAAAGGCTGAAATAACAAAGGACACGGCAGCCAAGGCAGCTCCGAAAATGCCGATCTTCCGCCAGCCAAACTCCTTGGTGACCGGTCGAGTGATGATCGCCATCAAGTTCCAGATGCAGCATTGGGAGTTGAAGATCCAGGCGGTGGTGGTGGACGAGGCGCCCTGCTCCATCAAGTACCGAGAGAAGAGCACACCGAAGCAGGGACTGACCATAGGGATCAAAGTCTGTGGTAAGAAGTATTATTAATGGTAATGCAACCCACATTTACGTAATTTGTAGATGTAGTTATACTCGTGTCATATTTAAGGTAATTTCTTTGTAATAATGTCCGATCATGACGATAATTTTACAGTGTTGATATAAGTGGAACAAACTGGCTTTCTTATACATTTCTGTTCCTCTTATTCATTACGGTTACTACGGCATGTCTATAATGAAACCTATATCTACATATATTCCGATAAGTAGTGGTAAAATACTGAGGTTACTGCTTCATATAACAAACTGTCGGCTGGTTTTATATAAGAACATAAGCGATAAGTTTGTTGAACAACTTAGGTACAGTAGCTCGTGATTTTTTTTTTCTGGACATAAAATTTGTTTAGTTTCTGTCTTTATTTTGTAAATTTCTAAATAATTATTTTTTTGTCCTGGATTTAGAAACAATAAATGCCAGGACACATCCATTATATGTTTATTTCATTCTGATTGCTGAGCCCAAATAATTCTCACCTACGCCTAATTTTCTTATTAATATATACGTACTTCACTCCGTCCCATTACAAAACACTCCTGATAATAAGCACTTGACAGATTCGTCGACTTTCATTGTTTAAGTCGCCTTACTGTTTACCTGCACTGTCTCGACACACAGGGATTTGTATACTCCCACGGCCTACCAGCACCGAAAACCTACAGTTTCTATATTAATGCTGAACTGTATAACTGTAATGGTTAAACACATGATTACCCAATTGTAAGTCTCGATGACAATTTTACTTAATTATTATTATTATTATTATTATTATTATTATTATTATTATTGTTGTTATTATAAAAGTCATAAACACATTATTTTCTTCTCATTGTGCAATCTGATTCTCATGGTTCGTGGAAGAGCAGGAGAGGCGACAGGACTTGTGGGTGACTGTACACAACAATGACTGGAAATTTTGGGAAAGAAAACGTAACTCTACCTTCTTTTTAGGGGGAATATTACGTAACACAAATTAACCATTACATTGCTTAAATAACTCTTCTAATATATGAATAAGTAATCATTTTCTATTGCTCGTTGTGAAATATTCAGCCTTTATTAACTAAATGCCTATTCGTGAGGTTTCGTGGTTAGTGCACATGCAACATCTAAATCTTGAGGGGTTGCTGACACGGAGGGCCGGCCCACTCGTTAGCCTAGGTTGCCCGTCACTGTTGTAGACTAAGTCTGTATTTCCCGGTACTTGCACTGTACTAGATATTTTAACTAATCAATAAAAGGTAAAACAACTTGTGTGTTTATGTACATGTGTGAGTGAGTGTGTCAGTCAGTCAGTCAGCGCCATAGTTCCAACACCACCGAACCTAGAAACTTGACACTTTGCTTTCATACTGAGAGGACCCTGGGGTGTGCACTTTGGTGATATTTTTTTAGATTTGGCTCAATGGGAAAAAAGCTGTAGAGATGGGTGTTGGGAGTCATGCAGTATAGTAACATTTCCTTCACCGTCCACACCCCCTACCAGCCGCCCAGGGGACGATAGTGATAGTGTAGCAGTAGATGATAGTGTAGTTGGGCATTGAAGATAATAGTGTAGTTTATACAGTGAAGATGATAGCGTAATTCATGCAGTGTAGATAATAGTGTAGTGATAGTGTGGAACTGTAGTTGTTGTATTGTAGATGATAGTGTCGTTATGGAGTCGTTATGGACATGGTTTATGAGCTAGCCCTGAATATCAAACTTGACAACCCTAGTCCTCGGCTAGCAAGCAATGTGCATGGACTATAATTGCATTACAGTAAAACTTACCATTATTACGAAGCTTCCTAGAGCTACCATCCAGCCCCAACCTCCGTCTGGGGGGACCATCTCTGTGGCAGCATCCTCTTCCTCCTTCTCCTTCACTTCTTTCTTTACAGGCCACTGCTTCTCGTTGGCGTTGCTATCTTGTCGAAGAACAGTGGACGAGTAGCTGATTCTTTTCTTGTGCCCATCCTCAGTGATTTTGGTCTCGTCAGTATTTTTGAGAATCCTGTTCTCGGTGAATCCTTCTTCTGAATTCATCTTCAGTAATGTTTTAGTCAGTGAAGAGACTACAGCGTCCAGTGGTGCTCGGGAGTCTTAAGTACAGCTCATGCTTCGTTTAACTCGTACACGGACACTGCATGTGGCGTGTTTTGCAGGGATGTAAGTTTCTGAGCGACAACCATTTACGTGTACACTGAACGTCATTGACAACTTGTCTGTTTCTGGTCAAGAAAGGTCTTTGAAAAGAGACATACTTAAGCGTCTAGGATAGGGATAACACTATCTGATTTTCAGAAGATAACAATGACACTACCACAGCATTACATCACTACTCCGCCGAGGTGACACGCTACCACCTTCACTGTGTACGCCACAAAACCACTAACTGCAGGAGACAAAGGTTAGTGCATCCCTTGTCGGAGAGGATAACAATCTGTGCTCCCAGTCAGGCGTCTTTCAAGCGAGTGAATACACCGTGTTGCTGGGCCAGCTTCGCCCGCGCCCTGAGCTGAAGGCCAACACAACCATGCACCGATTAATATCCCGCCAAGTCGCGCTCAGCACAGTGTGAAGCACATCTCAAAATGGATGGAATGCCGATGTGCTTATTGTAATTACTCGGAGAGACGACAACACTAATAAGTGATGAATTTATCAGCCTGTTCAGCCAGCAGCAGTAGCAACCACTTGCACCTGAGTCTTAATATAGCCCCTGGATGAGGTGCAAGATCCTCGCTAAGACAAGAGATTATCCGTAGGCCCCTTCCCCCACTATATATATATATATATATATATATATATATATATATATATATATATATATATATATATATATATATATATATATATATATATATATATATATATATGCATGCAAGTAAATCACTCTAGGTGCGCGTGATCCAAGTATATACTGATAACCACAAGGAAACAAGAAAACACGACGTTCCAAGCACTTTCGTGTAATTCACATCTTCAGGGGTGAGTACAGACCCCTGTGGTTATCAGCATATACTTGGATCACGCGCACCTAGAGTGATTTACTTGCATGCATATATATATATATATATAGTGGGGGGAAGGGGCCTACGGATAATCGAAAAGGTCGTTTAATAACACATAAAGTCTACGGTAATAAAGCATACATTTTCAAAGTACCTTTCCCTAACCTACCTCATTTAAGTCCCTCTATTTATTTTTGTTCATTTGCCATTCATATTTCAATAGAATTTGCTTTAACCACTTTAGTAAATAAATATGAACCAACACAGAAACCGTGAATAAAAAATGGAAAAGTCAAAGAACATAAGTCAACACAAAAATTGTGACCAAGTCCCAGGTTGCTGATCTGACTTTCTGCCTCATCTACACACAATTGCAGGGTCTCAATTGTTTCTCTTACTATTGACAACACAACATGCATACAGGTAGATTGTTTCTCACTCTTGATTTTTTTTTATTTTTGCATTTCTTTATGGTTCTTTATTACTATTATTATTATTATTATTATTATTATTAATATTAGCAGTATCATTATTAATATTATTACATTATCGCCCCCCAGGCCCCGATGTGGGTCAGTGACCTGTGCCCGGGTGGACTAATTAATCCCTGTAATAAAAAAAATATATATTAGGGGTTCGGGATTGACGGTTAATCCGAAAGTCGGTTAATCGAGGTTTTACTATATATATATATATATATATATATATATATATATATATATATATCAGGAGGGAACAGCCCTGCCATGTGATGACAGCACAGATAAGACTAGTAATTGGTTATATTGAAGGTCATGTTTTGGTCACTGATAAGGAGATAAGAGCAAGCATGCACTCTTCCTATATTATTTTCCTTCAATTCATTATAACTATCTATTGTCACTTCGTTTAGCTGTTGGTCTAATGTTACATTTCCTCACCAGGACAATCCACCCCCCCCCCATCCCCTCATCTCCGTTCTGGCAGTATCTCCTGGTGCAGCACATTTAGAAACACATGTTTCTACTCTAATCATAACCTCAAGTCTTTTATCTTACGATCAACAGAATGTTCCCTAATCACATTTCTCTACCCGAAGTACCACCCACTCCCGTGCTATCACTCTATCTCAATATATCATAACCCATCCACACCTACCCCCCCCTCTCTATTTTCCTCCACCCTCAGCGAACTGCTCTGACCCCCCCTCCATCCCTCCCAGCGTGACTCGTGAAACCTGGCAGTCACACTGTGTTTTGACGTCACCCTGAGGTATGACATCATCACTTCATGCCGGTAATTTCACGATCTAATTTTTCTCTTTTTTTTCATTAACCGAAGTACAAAAGCATCCGCATTAGCACAGATTGTGTCTATACGCACCGTCTACAGAAATACCAATTGTGCATGAAAACATCTACAGCAATATTAGTCATAATCGTAAATAATCAACATAAGCAGCAATACCAATCATTCATGGCAACATCTGTAAGAACATCAGTCGTGCATGATTACATCTGCAACAATACCAGTCGTACAGGACAACACTTCTATCGTTATCGGTAATTGAGAAATTCAGTTTTTTGTGAGGTGCATGAGAATTGTAATCACGATGAGAATGCGTCTATTTTCCTCAAGGTCATATGAAATGGTGGAGAGTAATACAACCCTGCCAAGAACCGGCGCCGAGTAGTCGAGTTTTAGGCTCTAACAGCACGGTGAGAGACGGGCGCTGCTCTCAGTGTTGTTTCTTGATTTATTGTGTTTCTCTTCTCGCGTTTTTTTCCCGATGTATTATTTACCATCACCTGTAATACTAAGAGTGATGATACAATATAAACACTGCAAAAAGATGACGCAATGGGAATATAGTTACAGTGTTTTGTGTCGTGTCTCAGGCGGAAAAGAGTGATACAATAATATGAGTTGCTTGTCCACTAGAGGCAGCACCAATACGTGAGTGCATATTAATTATGTTTCATGTTTTCCTTCCTGGAGTGTAGATATCTTTATAAAAGACGTATTAGATGGAAAAGGGAATAGTATTCTGTCGTCTGAAGAATTTGGAGATAAGGAGAAAAACAACACAGGTATTTAGAGAAAGAAACAAAGGAAGGTTATGATGTTTCCGAACGAAAGTGAGACTTAGAACACGTCGAGTTGTCTGAAGGTGTATTAGAAGGAAGAAGATGGCCAAGATAACTACAGAAGGAGGCAATGAGGAGGAAATGGTAACAGAATGGGAGGAGCTGCAGCCACCAGACGGAGGGTGGGGCTGGATGGTGGCCTTCGGGTCTTTCATCATGCTGGTAAGAACAAGGTCTTCTTCTGATCATGGGTAAGGAGACCCACGTGTACACCTCGTGACTGCAGGTCTTGTTGCATAATGCTAACATAAGTTTTCTGTTGACTGAATATTATCTCGCGTTTGCTTCTCCATGTGTCATTGTTTGTTATCTAGATATTACGTCATGCCCTTTTCTTTGCTTCTGTGTTGATGATTACGTCTTTAGTGAATGTTCTTAGCTATCTGGGCTGATGCTTTTTCTCCTGGTTATAGCCACACCTCTTACGACAGCTGAGTTTTATTCAAGTGTATTTCTTTTGTCTGGTGTTGAGGGAAACGTCTGTCTACAAGCAATTTCTCCATTAACATCATGTCTCTGTTTACAATTCCTTGTCTTCTTACTACTGTTCTCCCTTTCTTCTCTTGTGACTGTTCTTGGCAATAAGCCCTTATAAACACACACACACAAAACAAATCCTTGAAGATTAACTCACATCAAACATTTACCCGAGGAAAATGTGTAGCTCAATGTAATATATTATAAACTACAAACTTGCTCACAATATAATTTCCTCATTGTTTTTCTCAGCTATTATTCATTACAGTATTTCTTCCTTTATATTTTCTCTCGTGTGATAAATAAGATAGATTTTACTGTGGTTAAAATTAATATTCTTGTTGAACTTAGATGTCGATAAGGAATACTCAATTTACGTAGTGAAGTATTTTAAGTTTTTACGACAATTTTGGCTATTTCTGTCACATTCATCTTATAATCTTTAAGTGATATTTGTTTATCGTGAGAACTCAAAAGTCCATCATTTGGGGATATCCCTATAAGACTTATCAGTATGACATAATCGAGATATTACTTATTGCTCAACAGCATCTGACCACACATTCACACACGTTGACATATACCAGCTCATACCAGATATATCACACACACACACACACACACACACACACACACACACACACACATGGAGAAGCAAACACTTATACACACGCACACACATATATGCACAAAAGACAAATACCGGTATGTTTACATCAACAAAGACACGTACAATCCACCGCCACTTATGAGCCACACAGACTGACGGCCTCGAAATTACTAGCCGGCAACTTCGCAGGACCCATACCTCCCCCATCCCTTCTTCCAGGAACACATTAATCAGGGAATTAATCGGTGGTCAGCCAAGGTGTAAGTCAACGCTTATCCCTGAACTATCAATACGTCCAGTACTGCCCAGTAAGACCCTGCCATAATTTACACTCTCACATTAATACTGAAATTAATCCATCGCGTCTGTGGCGAGTTACCAAGTGGGTACGAAATCTATCACGGACGGACAGACGGACAGCATGATTGCCATATATTCCCAAACTTTCGGTCCGGGAGGAATACTGAGAGAAAGAAATTTAACGCTGGTCAACAAGGAACGGCGCTTCCAATACAGGACAACGAATGACTTTCTTTCTTCATCAAACTTAGAAAAATTGGCTTTTGAATCAAGCTTAGGAAAGCGTGGCATCCCTAAAAATTACATCTAAAAATACTTTGATGTTCTTGAAACACGAGGAGGTGGTCTAATGCCCCTCAAGTGTGAGGACGTTCTTGAGACATAAGTGTGAGGACGCTCCCACACATATAAAACGGGAAGAGAGACCCAAATAACAGAAAACATTGGTCTCTGATGCTAAACTGTGACTGGGTCAACACTGAAAATTTTAAGGTTATATGCTTCTCTGACCCAAAAGACCTTAATCTTAATCTTCCCTGAGGCATTACAGACCCGAGCATTACACTAAGAGCCCATTGAAATTAGGCTCCATTGGAATTAGTACTTACTAGGATTGGGACCCATTATTACTAAGCTCCAATCCCAATGATTAGGTTTGGTTTTTACCAATTAGGGTTGGGACCTGTTTGACGAATCAACAGCTGATAGAGAGGACATGACGCCTACAAAACACAAAGCCGATTAGCTAATAACTTGTAAAGCAGGTCAATGAAACCATGCCAGTATGGTGAAGCTCATTTTATCTCAGTGTAGCAAGACTTTCCAGGAGAGATTCGGGAAGAAAGTGGAAGGAGGAGGTGGTAGTCCGATACCCACATGGACAGGTGAGGGGAAGACTTTCATATTGACAGCAACAGGACCACAGGCGACCACAAAGACGGTGTAAGACTAAGGAGTGGGACCGACGTCCGCGTGAACGAGCGGGGACATCACGTTGACTCATCGATAAGGGAAGGACACCGACGTCCTCAAAGATGGAGGGGAAAAGCGTAATGTTCCTTTAAAACTGTTACGGGATGCGAAGGACTCCAGACTTAACTAATGAAGAAAAAGATAACCAATGAATATGATAACTTGGACGTACCTGACATATGGTGTGTTAATGTCCCCCGAAAAGCTGTTTTAACTCACACTCACCTGGAAAAAGAAAAGGAAAATTTGAGTTGTGATTACCTGCCATCTATCCACCCCCCCCCCCCCACACACACCTGTATGATCATGCACTCTTAACTTACAGGAACAACCAAGCAGAACCAATGATCTTAAGCTTTAGTTTATGTCAAATGGATGAATAAGAGAACCTGTTCAATATGTCGAGAACACAACAGTAGTATTAATAGTAGTTACCTTGGTGGTAGCGGAAGTCCTGGCGCCGTATAGTGTCACCTCCTGCCACCATCTTGACACTTTAATGACACCTCATGGCACTTAACGACTCCTTGCTTTACTCCAAAACACACTTTACACTTTGCGATAGTTCAAAACACTTTGCAACAATTTACCACATTAATGACACTTTTCGATACTTTGCGAGACTTTAAAGCATTAATGGCACTTTATTGACACTTTATGACACCAATGGCACTTTAAGGCACGTTGAGAGACTTCACAGAACACTTTTCGACACCATATGACACTGTTGCATTGTTTGGATACTTTATAACCGTTCGAGACTTTATGACACTTAATGCCACTTTATGACACTTTGGATCTATATGACTTTTTACAGTCATATATTATAACACTTTAGGACAGTTTGACACCTTAAGAAACTTCATAACGCCTCTGTCACTTCATAGCAGTTTTAAATTATGCCCACGTCTTTCGATATATTATGACACTTATTAGACTTAATGTCACTTTATCAGACCTACTGGCACTTAAAACTACTTTATAAAACTTTTGGATATTACGTGAACCTTTGTGACATGACGTGACACTTTATGGCACTTTACGACACATCCCACTCTTACGACACATATGGGTGTGTTTTGCGACCTCAATTACTTTGTGACACTTACAGTATAAGCTTCATGACACGAACACTTCACATCACTTATAAAACTTCATAACACAAACACTTTACAACTTATAAACACTTTACGTTACTTACGAACACGTTATGATACATGTGATCACTTCATAATACTTATGGAAACTTAAAGTCACAATACTTATGAAAACTTTACAGCACTTTTTGAAAATTAAGACCACTTAAAACAATTAAAACTACTTTACGATTTATAAACACTTTCTGACGCAAGCACTTCACAACACTGACGAATAATTCACAATACTTTGCAGAACTCGTCAATTTCAGTCTCTTCACCGGCTATTAGTTTATTTATAAGCGTTCGTGTACGTCGTTACCGGCATTAAGGCAGAGACAGCACTGAGTATGTCTGGTGACTCTTGTCTTGTTAGAGGCCTTTGTTGGCATTCTCATGAATCTGAAACCACGAAACAAGACAGATTCAAGACTTGAGCGTACCGGCCAAAACCTCGTCTCCACACATGTAGCTTCTAATTATAAAGTATAAGGCAATGTATTACACAAGATTATATTTAAATATTTTTGTTCTTTATGGGTTTTTTGGGGGGGGGATGATTGAGTCTGATGTATCGAAAACAGATCAGAGCTGTTCCAGAATCCTCGAAACACCTACGTCATCGGTGTCTCAAAGTGGTGTCAGTCAACTGGTGACAAAAAATATCCAGATATTTTATATTGTTTATCCTGCTTAATTTGCTTAATAAAAACAAACAAGCAGGAGCGAAACAAACGTAAATTAAATAAATCTGTATTAAAAATAACAAATAACGATAGAACACCTTTTAAATTATTTTCTTATTCCGCAAGTCAACGTTTTCGAAGACGTGTGTAATGTGTATTGTCTCGGGGCGAGCAACTCAGACCACGACTTAACCAAAGCTACCAACAGACTCCACACACCTTTCTGGTATATTATGATGTGGTTAAATATTTTAGACGGACAACAGACATACCAAAGTCAATCACCTTAAAACTTAATTCATAAAAGGTGTTCAAAGAAAAGTTGCCTTACTCAAGGGGTTGGTTCTGTCTCCCAAACACAACGGCACGAAAAACGATCGAGGAGGTTTGCGTGTTTCTTGAGGTGGGGTGAGGAGGGATGCACCCAGTGAAGCTGCCGCATACAAGCATACAGTATATATCGCTTTTTAGTCCACTGTGTTCCTGCCACTATAACGCCATCATGCCTGTTTATACCTCCTTCTCCTCCTCTCCTCCTCTTTCTCCTACAGTTGCTGGTGCCTATGGTGACCCTCTGCTTCTCCATCCTGTTCTCCGGGTTCTTGATAGAGCAGGGCGCCTCCTCCACGACCATCGCCTGGATCTTCAACCTACACATTTTCCTCTGGAACCTCATAGGACCTCTAACTGGCCCGCTCTCCACGGAGTTTGGCTTCAGGAGAGTTAGTCTCGTAGGTACGGCGGTGTCTTCCTTATCTCTCCTGCTGGTGGCCTTCACCGACTCCATCGCCTACCTCATGGTATTCTTTTCTCTGTGTGGTAAGTATTTTGGCAGCTTTAGTCTTAACTGGGGGCGTTTATACGTTAATTGAGGAGCACGAGTTTATTATAAACACATACGAAGGTTAAATGAAGTCCTTATCAGTGTGAAGTTAACAAGGTGTAGATTTAACCCAATGAGTGGCAGGGGTTTCTCTACCCTTGAAAAACAAATCGTCTAGCGTAAAGTAAAATATAATAATTATTGCGACGCTGCTTCTTTAAAGATTAAATTTGCTTCAGATACACTCGTTACAGAAAATATCAGCAAGGTGGTGTCCGTTGGATGTTAAAATGAACATTGTGACTCCTGTTGTCTCGATAGGGTTGTCAAAATCCTTCGTCCGTGTCTCATATTGGCTAGCAAAATTTTTGCAGATACTTTTTGTAGAGACTGTACTGTACATGATATTTACAAATTGCACTTTATACAGTAACTTGAAAGTAAGTCCCATAGGCATGACTACCCGGTAGGGACAGTGTGGATAGAGCACCCAGTAATGGCTGGTACTCTACTCCATCGATTCACTTCCCCAAGTTGTAAGCTTAGGTACACATTTACAGCTGGGTGAACTAGGAGCCTCTGGGAATCGAACGACCGACCCTGGAACAGGAGGCGAACGTTGTATCCACTCGACCTCCTTCTCCCATGATAACTTAAGATGATACAAGTTTCTGAAAATTATAAATACATAATAAGTTACAAGTTAATATATGTCAAAAACTTGGTTTAACATTTCCATCATAATAACATACAGGCTATGTATACTAAATTGTAAATGTTTTCTTTCTATTCCAACAGGTTTGTTTGGGGGGTTGGGCTGTAAGCCCGCCTACGTGCTCACCAGTTTGTATTTTGAGAAAAGACGTGGCCAGGCCTTCGCGATGCTGATGGGAGGCATATGTATAGGTCAGTTCATGGGTCCACCTCTCGTCCGTTATTTACTGGAGAACTACGCGCTGATGGGTGCCAACCTCATCCTAGGAGCCCTTGTTCTTAACAGCTGCGTCGGAGCTGCTCTCTTCCATCCCGTGGAATGGCACATGAAAAGACGGAGACGTGCAGAGAATCCCATCACACCAGATTGTGTCGATGAAGACAAGGAAGACGGTTGCATGATCAAAGGAGTCTCATGTAAGGATAAAGAGATGATGCTAAAATCACAAGAAAGTAAATGGACACCTGGAGAGGCAGCAAGAATAACGTTGATACGAAATTTGAGCCGGTGTTCCAGTGTGTCCTCGGCTGCCTCCTTCATCGACCTGACCAGCGTCCCTCCAGTCAGTCATACTGGTATTGACGTGTATTTGGGGGAGGGAGATGAGGATTCTTCTTACCCAAAGACTTCTAGAGTGCGAAAGATTGTGTTCGTAGTAGTTCGCGTGGTCCGGTTACTCATTACAGATCTGAAGATCTTTAAGTCCCCAAGAGCTCTCATAATAGCCATTGCTGGTGTCTGCGTCGCTAATGGTTACTTGAATTTTCATATGATTTTGCCATTTGCTATTCAGAATTCTGGCTATACCCTAGAGGAAGCCGCCTGGTGCATGTCCATCGCTGCTATCTCGAACCTGGTGGCGCGTCTCAGTAACTCCGCTCTCTCAGACTGCTCCTGGTACAATATGAGACTTGTGTACATGTTGGGGGCTGGTCTCGTCGCTTTAACTACCTTAGGTAAGTCTTGCCTGAGTGATTGTTGTGTACATGGCAACGATGAATTAATTTCTGTTAAAATTTACCTCAATCATAATTTAGTATATTTATCTAAGGGAAATATAATAAGGCCACGACATACATTCATAAACTGGTGCTTAAATATACCAACCAGTCACGATACTTATTGTCTATAGAGAACATCTTTTGTTTTTCTTTATTAGTTTAATAGTTTAATATCTAAATGCCAGAACTAGTCTATAAAAAATAATTAATGCAAATTTTAGGATAAAAACTTATAATAGAAAAGAACATTGTATCTAATTATATATCAGTAAATTTTCACTTTCCCTATCTTGAGAAGCTTAGCGATGTATTACGTACCCCTGACGTAAACAACTTATTATGCAAAGTAGACTTTGTGTTACTGTGAAATTGATATTAGGAGATGTATTATATAATTTGACATTGGTATATAATGTTTCAAGGAGGTAGACTCAAGTGTGCATTACATAATTTTGATATCAGGTGGTGGTGATATGAAAATGATAAACCATTATGAAACTGACATGTTGCCATACTATGTTGAATTAGACAAGATCCTGATGTTGTCTATCCTATCCTCCCACAGTGTTCAGCTTCTTGAGTGACCTGACGTGGATGAAGGTGACCATGGGGCTATGGGGGTATGGAGTGGGCACCAACATCTCCCTCTACACACTTATTATGCCCAAATACATGGGTCGAGAGAACATGGCAGCCATATTTGGGGGCCAGTCATTTTTCATGGCCATTGGTCACATCACCTTAGGACCTCTCATAGGTAGATTTCTTCCCTTCTGTATACTAATCCTCAATAATCAACTAACTGACTTAACCACTGAGAGAAAATTAATTTTTTTTTATGGTTTAATAAATATATATTTTTTGAGATATCTCCTGTTTTTATCAATATGCATAAATATTACTTTTAGGCATCAGCAGCTTTGTTTTGATTTTTGTAGCAGACGTATAGTGTAGATGCTGTAATGGCTGTGTTGTTTATTTTCTAGGTATTTGTATTATAGATTTGTTCCAACTTAAACTAATTACTTTTTGTAGTTTTCCATTTTTCTTTGTATATACAGTATGTTACGGGACTAGGCAGGTCAGAAGTGTGACTGATTGAAAGAGTGAATAACTATCTAGTGTTACTACAGGTCTGATCCGTGACCTGAGTGGGAGTTATGCCGTGGCCATGCAGGTCATCTCGGTGGAGGTGTTCTTGTGCGTCCTCCTGTGGTTCTTCATGCCCGCCGCTGTCACCTACGACAAGAAAAAGGAAAACCTACAAAAGTCCTCAACTGATGCAGGAAAGACGTCACCATAGAATACGATAAGAAGTTCCTCGGAAGTGTTATATTGACGCTGATAAAATGTATTCCTACTGACTCGTTTAGGATACGATGGGAATCCCGCCAGAACTCCTTCACTTATATAAAAAGAAATTCATCATAGGATATAAGGAGCCATGTTATAAAAGAGATTGTGATTACGTATTGAGTATTATATAGTCAGACCAAATGGGCAAATCTGTGCTGTGATTATAAAGTAATAAAAATAAGAGTTTTCCGACTTGGCTTTCATAACCAATAACAGTTTCGTTAATTCGTTATTTAATAAAAACACAAAATGGAAAATAACTTATCGTAGTCTGGTTGATTTTCGTGTGATAATTCATTGAGAGCGAATCTTATTTTCACTTTTATCCACTGACGTGCATATAAACTAACACGCAGAAGGACACACGCACACACACACTAGGAGGAGAATAAGCAAACAAGACTTTCTCAAACACTGACGTAATAGGAAATGAAACTATGCCTCCAATAACCAGGTGAACTCAATATTGTCAGCAGTACACACCCTGAGTAGTGAATTAGTACTATAACTTACGTGAACTGTGTCAGGCATCAGCAAGATGGCCATGGCCTGTACTCCGGGCCTGTTCAATGAATAAAAGATGATAGAGACCTTGACTCCTAGAAAACTATTACAGCCTCGCTGTCAGACATAAGACGAATAATAATAATAATAATAATAATAATAATAATAAGAGCAGAATAACTAATACTTCACATCTACGTCCATTATGATTATTTATTAGTCCAATTTTTTTTTTAACTACGTAGGAGTCTGGATGTTCTGTAGGTCATGTGATGTGGGTCTACACTTTGAATGATTGCATGTTCTGGTCAAGCAAGATTGTCATATACTGCAATAATAAACTAGAGCCTCCAAACAATATACATACACACTCATACATACAAGCTGTCGCCAACACAATAACCACACCCTAATTTAACGAGCTGTATGACCCAGTGTCAAGGAGTAGTCCGAGAAGACCGGACAACTCGCCGTGGATAAGATAAATCTTGTTTTTTAGACAAGCTTAATGATCTTGTCCCTAGTATTGCCTTCAAAATTGAAAGAGAGATAAATGGATCCCTTCCATTTCTTGATATGCTTATCATGAGAAATGGTCATAACTATAAATTTAAGGTGAACAGAAAGCCTACTTAGGTAGACAGTTTCATACATTTTTATTGAGTCACCTGGAATCTACCAAAATAAAAATATTTTCTCCTATATTTTTGAGATGTTTGCATAGTTATGACCCTGAATTTATTGATGAAGAACTGCAACACATTCAGCCCAATGCACAAAAACTTGGGTCCCCTTCATTGTTTGTTGATCATTGTTTTAAAAGGGCTAAAAAATCCTTTCATTCTACTCAAACTAGGCAAGTTCCTACATTTAAGAATATTTTGACTCTACCTTATCGCAATAAATTTGTCCCATTAGTTCAGTCCCGTAAATTATTAAACATTAATGTTGTTTTTTAGTATGACTCAACTATTGTTAATATATTAATTAAGAATAACCCAACCTTGAATGTAAATGGAAGTGTTTACTGCATTCCATGTAGCAATTGTAATGGAAATTATGTAGGTCAGACTGGGTAAGCATTGCAATTCAGAATAAACAGCACAAGTACAATATAAGAACAGCATCTGAAAGCAGTGCACCGTTCGTTCATATAAGGAACAATAATCATCCCATAGATTGGGAAAACGTTTAGAAGAGTATAAATCATCATGTGTCACAGAAAGACTTCTGGTTGAAGCTAGTTTGATTAGAGAATTGAATTCTATAAACCTTAGTGATGGTCAGTACAAAACTGATATGTTACATAAATTTATTTGTCAGTGGCCCAAGGTTAAAAATGCTTTACGGTGGTGTTGGTGTACGGGTTAGTGGATGTCATGTGTTTGACCTGACCTCATGTTTTGTAAGGTCATCCTGTGTACATAAGTCTCTCTTATGTTTTGTTTCCCCTTTTTTCTGTGTGATTTTATCACGATATATTATATATATATATATATATATATATATATATATATATATATATATATATATATATATATATATATATATATATATATATATATTACAGGAGTACTCTTTCATTCCCTTTATTGTACAAGTTGTGTGTGGCTTATTATAGTGAAAGGTTCATACAGATATGTTACAGTCCGTGCTCGCTACTGAGTCCCGACGCAGGTGAGATAACAGTTAACACCTGTAGTCCGTGTTAGTCATTAATTCAGTTAAATCCTTAGGCGTCCACAGAAAAAAATTTCTTCACACTCACAAGGGTCATACCACACTGCCGTAGAGCAGTAACGACACCTACAACCAGCATGAATCATGGTTTGACGAATGGAGTCAACGGGGACATTGAGACGTGGCCTTGATCGAGTAAAACGTGACCTGACGAAATCTACAATTACTGATCTAGAAGATTCAACTTGTGTGGTCGTCGTCGGGATCTCCGAGGAGAACTCACAAGGAGCGGCTATGTTCCGTGTTCCTGTAGCTGTTGCTGTTGTTGTCATCTTGATGAGTGTGTATGATGGCTTGATGACAGGAGGATATCCTTTGTTCTCCCATGACACAGCAGCGTCTCCCGGCATCAGCACCAGCATCAATAGAGGCAGTGACTGAGTTAACACATTCATCTCCAGTATCTATGATGAAGCTCTAACAGACAGACTCTAGGAAAGAAAAACATATTATCAAAATAAATAGAATCACCTCTTAATGCCATGATGTGTGTTATTTATATAGGGTGTCCCAGAAAAATGTCCCTCCTTCCCTCCCTCCCTGCCTGTTCCCTGCCTCTCTCCCTCCCCCCAACTCACAGTGTCTCAGGGAGCAGGGAGGGTGGGAGGCAAGGACATTTTTCTGAGACACCCTATATTGTAAAAGGTCTCTCTACTGTACCCTAAACTAGGGTAATAATGACTAAGTTGTTTGAAATATTAGATGTTTGTTTCAACTTCCTATTTTCCTACAACAGAGGTGACGTGTGATGTAGATAGCAGGTGGGGAAGGTGCAGTCAGCTGTGCGGTGTTGTGGGTTTTGAGTCACCATCTGCCTGTGAGTTAAGAATACACGGGTTCATACAGGAAACTGAGTAAAGTCTTATTACCCACATGAGGTAAACAAAGAAAGAAAGTTGTCCTGCGGTGGCTATTGTTCTACATAATTCTTTACAGCGATACTGTACCTTCAACTGAGAACCCGGTGTTAAGTACAGTACCGCAATGTTGCCTTTGTACACAAGGAGTCTTTAGTGTTATCGCCCACACAGTCGTACATAAACACATTAACATTACAACAGAAACCAATTGAAGATTAGCTTAATTCACTACCCTAGGGAGTTAGGTTAGGTTAGGTTAGGTTAGGTTAGGTTAATCTTAAGGTTTATTAATCTAATGGGGCTAATATTCGGTGTGATCTCCTTAAGGAATTAATGTATGTAAATATACGGTGTTATACTGTACGTTTCAAATTGATAATAAATTGGCTAGATTTTTAATGATTTTTATTATTATAGGTTAATATCGCCTCATTCTTATTACTATATATTCGTATTAAATTTTGTTTCTTTATAACTTTTTTCCATACAATCAACTTAATAATCTTGAGATATGGTAAATGAACCTGCAACACGGTATATCGATTAACATTCATATATACCTGAGATTATTGCTTCTTAAAGTAAATATTCACTTTCTCAATATATTTTTTTTTTCGTGAAGTGAAGATTTGGTTCTTTACTGAGAATGTGAAAAAAATAACGACATTTATTACGACTCATAAATAATTTTGGCCTTGAAATTTTGTCTTTAATTTTACTTGGACATTGCCGTTATGATGTTATTTCTACGCCTCAACAACTAAAGACTTTAAGTACGTAAAAACAATAAAATATGAGAAATTAGTCCTTGTATTATCGGTTTCTACATTATAGTACAATATTTAAAAACATGTTTATAATGAAAATAATAAAGTTATTATCATGTTAAGTTAATATTTACCCAATGAAGAAATATAACTACACCATTTGGAAAATTTACCTGGGAATTAGACTCAAAATATCCTCGTATGGAAAAAAATACAGGAGTTCTAATGAAGTCAAGTCTAGGGAAAAAAGACAAATAAAACGTTAATATTTACCTTATGTTCTGTATAACATCTGAAAGCACTTACCATGTGATATAACATGACAGTAAATTTGATAAAAACTAAGTAAGGCATTGCGACATAAGCCTTTGTAAACGACTATATCAAGGAAACGTTATATTAACCGCCAAAAATTACTAAATTAACCATAAAAAAATTGCGTTATAAAAAAATATCTCTCATTAAATTTTACTTACGGTTTATTCGACAACAGTAGCGAACTAAAACAATAAAGTTGATCACTGACAGTAAGAGAACATAATCTACAAGATGGCGACAGGATAATGTGACTCCTCATTAACCCATACACTGCGGTGAGGTGACGGAGGATGGTGACTCTCAGGAAGGTATGGGGTATATATTTAAACGCCACTGCCAGACGCACGATGAAGTAGGAAAACAACCATTAGCAATAAACGTTTGCATAATTTAAAAACACAATGTTATTTTTTTTTCCTTTTCCTCATTATTTCAATTTTACTTTCGGTGAGATTGTCAACTTTCTCCTGTTGTTTCTGTCAGTGTGATATTTTCATGATTTACACTCACCATGGTACCATACACTGACAAAGTGAAGGAAATGAAAACTCATGCATCATCTACACACGCACACAGACATACACACACCCACACACACACACACACACACACACACACAATCCTTAAATCAGCTACGACGTATTGCAATCACCCCAAAACCCAGCCTAATCTGTGAAAGTTTTGTGTTCGACTGGGCTTATGCTGATATTGCAGGAGTAGTAGACCCTCAGCAATTTGGCAATATGAAAACTTCCTCCACCAATCACTGTCTTGTCAGCTTTCTCGATTACATATACCGCCATCTCGAGAAACGAAAAACGTCTGTAGCTGTCACCTTCATTGATTTCACTAAAGCATTTGACCTAGTCGACCATAATTTAATCATCAACAAAGCTATTGACCTAGGGCTTCGGAGAAGTCTTATACCATGGCTTACAGACTTCCTCAATGACCGACGCCAAGCGTTACGCTTCCGAGGGGCTGTCTCCACCTTTCAGTCACTCACCTATGGCGTCCCCCAAGGCACCAAGATGGGACCACTCTGCTTCCTTATGCTTATCAATGATGCCCTAAGAGAAACCCCTGCTCGCTGGAAATATGTCGACGACTCCACCATTGGGATCAGCGTCAACAATTCTGCTCCCGACTATACCGCCCTTCAGGATTTATTGAAGTCTCCAAAACTGGGCCACCAACAACCACGTCACCATCAACCATACCAAGACCATGGTTATGCACATCAACCTCTCCTCCGACATTGTCCCACCCCCTTCCATTACTTTAGGTCCGAACACACTCCAGGTTGTAGATTCCACGAAGCTCCTCGGCGTCACCATAGACAACAAACTAAATTGGAAACCACACGTCAGTGAAGTTGTCAAATCCTCCAATTTCCGTCTCCACCTCCTCCGCCGACTCAAGTCCCTCGGAGTTCCTGCACCCAAGCTCCTCAGTGTTTACTCAACATTCATACTTCCCAAGCTCACCTATGCCTCCCCTACCTGGTCTTCCTCCCTAAATGCCACACAACGTAAACACCTAGAAAAAATGCAAAAGAGGGCCTGCAAGATTATTCTCTCCCCTTCCTACTCCACATATCAAGAAGCGCTCAACACACTGACCCTTTCGACTCTCACTGACCATCACCACGACCTCATCTGCAAATTTGGTAAGCAGCTTCTGCACCATCCTCGACACCGGCTCCTACTACCACCTGAGATCCCAAGCCCGAGAATTGCTGTTCGACACCACAACCGCATCCAGCCCATACGTGCACGAACTGATCTCTATAAGAACAGCCCAGTCCCAACCATTGTAAAAATTATCAATAACTTGTAATAAACCAGTGTATTCACTCCCAGTAAATACTACTTCTTGCACTGTCACTATGTTGAAATGCCCTGTAGTTTGAGCTTTTCTCCAACTAGTTATTATATATCTTATTTGTATCACTTATGTTATTAGTATATTATTTGTAAATCGAAACCCATTCCCCAATTATGTAACTGTATATTTTCAGCCTTCTGGTTGCCAAGCTTTCAATAAACCGTTAATTATTATTATTATTATTATTATTATTATTATTATTATTATTATTATTATTATTATTATTATTATTATTATTATTATTATTATTATTATTATTATTATTATTTATATAGTTTGATGGTGCAGGTCATCTTATATACAGTGTAATTCATTTCTCAACTGTGTTCGGCCTCTTTTTTATAATACTTCTGTGTAAGTTATGGACAGTAACTTTCTTGAGTTGAGACCATAAACTTTCTCGAGTCTTGGGCTTCAATTATTTGAGACTTGAACGTAAGATGTTTTCTATGATACTTTTAACTGGTTTATATTTTCTATACTATGGCACAAAAGTAGAAGGGAAATATAATTATGAGCTATAGTTGGATAAAACACTTCAACACAATTAATTAAGTGATGTTGAACGCTGTGTGGAGAATCCTTGAATCTTATTTTTCCCTCAATTTTACTGTACTGACCTAGAAGACTAACCTTGCTATTCTTTGGAAGACCTTCGTTGTTGAAGCCCAGTTATAACTTAACAACAGCAACAACCTGCAACTGAGCCACTCTTTATCTTGACGCACATCTTAAGTTTTAGTTCGTGTTATATATCCAATGATGAATATTTTTGGCAAAGAAGTTGATGTTATTTGTCAAAGTAGTTGTAAAATATCTAATCCTTCTTTAATATCGGTCTGACTTATTGAAATCACAGCTTTGGTGATTGCGTATACGTCAAAATATATGTTAAAGAGAAAGTAAACTATATTTGTGTGATTTACTCTGATGATGGTTCATCATTAAGTTTCTCCTGTTTTTTCTATTTAGAGAAATTAAGATTATGAAATATTGGAAATTATTCTTTAGATATTTTTTTCTGATTAGTGAAGAATTTCTAAAAAAAATCAAATAAAGAGAACTTCATCTTTTTATCAGGTTTATTTCCTGAGCTTTCACGTAAATAGGAAATAAATGGAATCTTGTCTTTGTTAGATGACTGGACTAGGGAATAAATATGTTTTATTTGTTCCATAAGTGAAATTTATTTGCACATTTCCAACGTAAAGTTTTAGTATATATATATATATATATATATATATATATATATATATATATATATATATATATATATATATATATATATATATATATATATATATAAGACGTTTACTTAATGTCTTTTATCATTGCAGCAATTATTATTACTGTACCAATTTGTTGAAAATATTCTGCCATTCTTTTTAGAGAGAGCCGGGTTACTTATTTTTCAGACTTACTTTGTTGTCATTTTGAAGCTTTCTAAAATTCTCAGAGACACGTATCATTCGCAGGATGTGACGAAGGTTGGTATGAAGATTCAAAGCAATCAGTTCTGCTACCTTCAGTTCCCCCTCTCCTGAAGAGACTAGTGACTCAGGGCGAGGTATTTTATCTTTCCTGCTAGTCGAAAATAAGCTAATAATAGTCAACAATGATGTGTGTGTGTGTGTGTGTGTGTGTGTGTGTGTGTGTGTAAGTGAATATCATTAGTATTTATCTCACCAATATAATATAAACTAAGGTAACCTAAGTCATCTAACTGTATAGTTTTACGCTACGACTAACCACCGTGCGGCAGAATACGTTATATACTACGGGCTACATTGTACACTCTACACTCTCCAAATCACCATTGTACAGTACAGTATACGCCATGTAACTGATCACAGAACATGACCCATAAACAAGCTGCTGTGAATAAGTAAACAAAACAACCTTGGGTGTTCTTGTTGTCGATTATATGTTAGGAAATTATTGGGAGAAAATTCACAGCATTGTAAGAGCTAACTCCTCGCGGCAGGTTTTTCCGAGTGTCAAGCAAGCTGCCAGATGCGGTACGATACGTTTAACAAAGACGTTCAAGGTGAACTTCTTTACATTAAGTATTGTGTGTGTGTGTGTGTGTGTATGTGTGTGTGTGTTATATTTTTTGAAGTCAGGTTTCTTTACAAGTCATCCGATACTCAATGTTTCTAGTACACCTAACATACACCTAACCTAACCTAGCCTAACCTAACCTAACCTAACCTAACATACACCTAATTTTTCCTCTGAACTGACTCTAGTTAGTGAATGTGATGGAAAATAAATGTTTGATTGTGGAATTGTTTTTCCTTCACCAAAAATAAATAAAATATAAGTGTTTTATCTGCATAATGTAAACCTTATCTTTAAATACAAAGTTAAATGGTATTTTACGAATTTATTTATGCAAATTGTTCACTAAATATTCAAAATATTATTAAAAGATGACATACACAGCGAGGAAATCCAGAGTCGATATAATGAAATGGAGTTTATTCCTAAGTTTCACCTAACTTGAAGAACATATACTGTGGTGGGCTGTATGAGGGACGTGGTGGGCTGTATGAGGGACGTGGTGGGCTGTATGAGGGTCTTGGTGGGCTGTATGAGGGACGTGGTGGGCTGTATGAGGGTCTTGGTGGGCTGTATGAGGGACGTGGTGGGCTGTATGAGGGTCGTGGTGTACCAGAATTCTCAAGATTTCCATACGATATAATTAATAAACCTTATACAACACAACCTTTAGCCTCAGTTCCAGCATCTACCATAACAAATGTCGGAATTCTACTAAAGATTTGATTATAATTGAATACGATTTCCTAGCATCTAGTAACAGAAGGGAACATGAACTGGTGAGGCTTACTTGTGAAACTTGGCTAGACAACTCCGGGTCAATGGCACTTGAACTCAATGAGGACACATAACCACAAGTTGGCAGGAACTGTAAATACTTGTTGCCGAATTTTTCTGGCTCTATCTAAGTCACTTTTGCCTCTAAGTCCTTATTATTTTACTATGTTTTGTTTTTTCTGGTGATTATTTAATAAACATCTACAATATTTTGCTGCAAATTTTATCTACAATCGTTTTAAACTTTCTTCAAGCATAAAAATACCCTGAAATATCATACCGTACAAGATAGTTCAAACAGAGAGATGTTAGTAGTCTTTCTTCACGTCACTGATTAATTACCACTAAACAAAAAATTAATATTGAACCATAAACTCAAAATAGTTTCCAGTTGTTATTAGTATTCCCCCAATAGGTTTGAAGTGAGCATACACCTGGCAGCGGAGTGGACAAGAAAGCGGAAGAAAGCTGGCCTTACCTGGGCTACCCCAGTGTCGTGCCAGCCTTGATACAGCGCAAAACCGTCAACGCCAAGGGTAGGTCTAATTGATAATAAGATCTCATAGTAAATAATGTTCTTTCTTTATTTATGGGCAAGGGATACTCTGAGAACATAAGTATCAACTCAAGGATATTTTGATAAGGTTATACTTGTCAGTAAGTTTGAGAGTAATTTAAATAACATGAAGCTTGAGATGTGCTTACTGTACCATTATCAAGCTTGAGATGTGCTTACTGTTTGAGATGGGCTTACTGTAACATTATCAAGCTTAAGATGTGCTTACTGTATCATTACGAAGCTGGAGATGTGCTTATTGTAACATTATCAAGATTGAGATGAGCTTACTGTAACAATATCAAGCTTGAGATGTGCTTATTCTACCATTATCAAGCTTGAGATGTGCTTACTCTACCATTATCAAGCTTGAGATGTGCTTACTCTACCATTATTATGTCCATATTACTGCGTGAAGTGTTTTATATTATGTGTTCGTTTGTAAAATTCCAGAATCTGTGTTCTCCATAATCAACAAGACGCTAGTAGAGATGTACTTGCGACGTCATTGTGCGCCTCTGTTGCTGTGGCTAGTGGTGACGGCCGGTGCTCCCTCAACGACTTCTCTTCACAGTTTTGTCCCCGAGACGCTGTCCTACACACCCACCCACATAACGACGACGAGAACGATGACGATGGCGCCACTCATAACAACAACACAGAGAATTACTGTTCCAAGTGACACCTCCTTGGATGTTGTACCTGTGATAATCTACACGGAAGACGACACTAAGACTACAGTGAACGAGCCCGACAATTGTTGCCTTCAGTGTTCAACGAAATTTTTTATTACCGTAGCATCTACTACTACTACTACTACTGTCACTGTTTATAGTCTCATTACTACTTCTCCTGTACCTTCTTTACGTGGTACTGCTTCTAGTCCTACTCCCACTGTACAGCCTAAACCCGAGTTTATTGATGCTCCATGTTTATGTGACCAATGTTCTGCAGTTGCACAGCGTAGCCCTTGTGTGTGTGTCAAGAGATATGGCTGTGGAATCGAGCCTGTAAAATAATATATCACACGGATTATGATGGTTAGTGTAGAGAAAACCCGCCCCTATGTTAGCGGATGTCAGACAAATCAATTTCTTAAGGTGATTAGCAGAATGGATGTTTTTTTTTTGTCTGCTAAAAAGTATTGCACACGTGTTTGGCCAAATGTGAGATGACTATTTACAAAGTTGATTTACACGTTCTATAAAATGGTGGTCTTAAAAAAAAAATGTGATACCAATTATGTTTAATTTGTGTTCTTATTTTATATCACTGTTATGTAGACATTAGTTGAATTATTACTTCCATTAATAAATAAATGTTACAAGTGATATATTCACATACTGTGTTAATTTATTTCCATGACTCTCTACAGAATAAATTTACCGTACAAAATATTATACAAATATTCCAAATTTATATATATATAAAGATCACTGGTGGTGTTGTGATGGTTTTCTGTTGGTGGACTACGGCGGTAGTGATTGGCCATCTCAACCCAGACCTGCTACCAGAGCTGCCATTTCTATCAGGGTTTTGGTTGTTGTATAAAGTACGTGTATTTAATGTTTAAAGTAAGAATAATATGGTAATATTCTGGTGCATTTTGATAATTGTATATTTCGCTTAATTGTTATGTAATGTACCTAATTAACAATATTAATCAATACTTAATAATATAAATGTTATTAAATTTCTCAGTTTACTAAATAATCTTCTTAACCGTTTCACAACTTAAATTTGTCGTCACGATAATTGATTCGTGTGTGGGTGCTCCATACTTGTTGCATCCACGTATTTCAACCCTAGATTATTCACTCCTTATTGTAACTTGTCAACTTTGCCTTTCCTCATTGTTGTGGGTAGCAAGGAGGGAAATCACATAATCAATATCAATTGAATGTTGCAATGGGGGGCTGGGCTTGTACCGTCAACTATAAAAAATCCCGGCTGTAGGTGTGGTGTCGATATTAATATCTATGTTAAGAAGTTAAAATAGGTTCACTCCAGTTGCCGTCACCTCTTAACTTCAGAATTATAGTCTTATAGGAAGAACAAAAACGGAATTGGATATATAATTCATGTATATCCAATTTCATATTATCTCGTGCGTCTGGCAGCGGATGGGAGCTACACAGTGACTGTAAGTGGGTAAACATCCGCACCTTTTAATTCTTGACAGGCCAGGACGTGTAGCACGTTGCCTTTAGATCTTATTCTTTGTTGTGACTCCACCAGGTAGGGGTGTGTGCGTGTGTGTGTGTAATGATAATAATTATCGGTTTATTGAAAGAGCTTGGCAGCCACAAGGCTGAAAATATACAGTTACATAATTGGGGAATGGGTTTCGATTTACAAATAACATAAGTGATACAAATAAGATATATAATAACTAGATGGGGAAAAGCTCAAACTACAGGTGTGTGTGTGTGTGTGAGAAATGCATTCCAAATTATTTGGACATAATTACATATCTAAATATTTTCATCATCCTCTAGTATTCCCATAATCGTGATCGTATTGTTCCATCCACAACAGAGACAGTAAAGGTGAACATGGTGAGTCAGCTTTTGTCTCTACTGGTGGTGGTGGTGACGACCGCTGGCGCCTACCCAGAAACAACTTCCTCCTACCAAGACAATCTTCCACCTGCTCCACTGTGGACATCTGCCGTGACCACAAAGGTGAAACAAACATTCCTCACAACAGTAACACAAACAGTAACTGTAGGGTGTGACGCCTTACCCAATAAAAACGTCTTAAGAACACTCATGAAACTCAAGAAAGAGATGCTCCCTACTAGTTGCACCTGCGACGGTTCTACCAGAGTACCTGAGTTGTCACCTTCCCATGTCACCTCTGAGTTGGCCCAAGAGAGACTCAAGAGAGACATTTCGAACCAAGTATTCCAGAAGGTAGTTACGTTAAATAATGGCAGAAGTTACTTGAAGAGGTGCTCGTTTCAGGAAGTTACTCACGGGGCCACGTCACTTAATGGAGTCTTTGAATCCACCTGTACAGTAACCTCGACTGTGATAAGCGTGACAACAGTGTATCAAACGATTGCTGCTACTGTCATTCACGCGCCCTGTTCCTGCGGCTTGTGCTCCTACCTGATAAAAGAAGATCCATGTGAGTGTGTTGGAGTGGCTGGCTGCGGCATCATACCTGTATAGAGAGGATCAGTAATGCAGTAAGGCGCCTGACCCTCATACTAACACAATACGTCAGAGAATTCATTGATACATTAGATTTTATGGATTAAAAGGAATATGAAATAATCAATATATATTTATAACGAAAACTACACAACTACACACCGCGTTCATGCACCTGTATACGAAGTCGACCATTCACTTGATCACAATATATCCTTAAATGTCTAGATGTTGTATTTATCTCTCCATATAAGACTAATAAATAATCTGTAAAGTGATCTACAAGGGCACACTACACAGACAATATACACGGTTCAACTGATATAGAGTTCCTGCGGTTGTAATTCAGAAGAAGGGAATATTCCATAACATTATCATGTGGTCTGGATAATCTGACCTATTGATTCATTACTGTATTAATCTTGTAATGTGTTTCATGCTTATTAGTTTCCATTAAGGTTGATTAAGATGATAGATAATTATAAGAACAGTTGCACCACAGTTTAGGAATAGTTGTATTACTGATCCTTGATATTTAATGCAATAAAACTTATAATAACAAGAACCCTTTTCTGAATCACCCTGTATACCTGTTTTTACCTGGGGATAATGTGAAAATCAGGTAGTGAAGGTCGACAGGTAACAGAGACGCATCACCTGGTTTGGATGATGTTTTTAGTGTTTGAGTTTACCTGATGACGATGAGGTGATTTTTACCTGTCTTTGTGTTATGTGTTTTATTAAGTTTCACACACTAAGCTATTACATGTTTAATTTAAAGCTTGTTATGTGGTACACTAAGCTGTGACTTGTTTAATTCAAAGCTTATAAGGTGATACACTAAACTGTTACGTGTTTAATTTAAAGCTTGTAAGGTAATACACTAAGCCGTTACGTATTTCGTTTAAAGCTTGTAAGGTGATACACTAAGCTGCTACATGACTTATTGCGGTTTCTCAGATGACATAGAAAACTTATTTTTTTTGTTTCAAGCTTGATGGTGGTAAGCTAAGCTGTTACGTATTTTGTTAAAGCTTCTCAGGTGATACACTAAGCTATTACGTGTTTTATTAAAGGTGAGGTTAGGTCAGGTCAGGTCAGGGTCCCATTATACCTAAAGGTGAGTGATTCTGTGAGGACTATTGTTATGGTGGTTAGGAAGGCGAGGCCCTTAATCCCTTTCTCCACGGCCCTATCTTGTAACTATTGTATGTTTGTGTATGTGTGTGTGTGTGTGTGTATGTGTGTGTGTATGTGTGTGTGTGCGTGTGAAAGAAAAAATCAATGAAAGAAATGAGAAACAGGCAGCTAGAGGAATGAGAGAATTTAACTGACGGATATAATATATACTGAGCGATAGTCAGACGTACGTAGAAAGTCAAAGAAGACAAACTAACAGAATAAGATACTACAGGAAAACGAGACAGACTTAGAGAGACAAAAAAAGTAAGTGTTTGAGGAGGAGTAAAAGAGCAATTTGGTAACTCTGCTGTAACTTGGCGCGATACCAATTAATATTCCAAAGACGTAGGACACAAACAAGTTTTCCTTCGGTCTGTCAAGGTTGAATTTACGGGTGAGTATCTATGCCGTATGTACCTGGAAGTGAGGGGTAGGGAGAGAGAGAATGGATAGAGTGATCGCCTCCTACCCTTTGGGATATTTGTGCCCACTCAGTATACGCCCAGTCCACCCAACTGTGTATGGGTGCCTAACTGTACACTTTTTCGGCAATAACTTCAGTTGATCTTTAAGACATCTACTACTAAGGCTGCAAAGAGAGAGTTGGAGAGACATAACAGCACCTCCAAGCTTGGTGTGTCTAACAGCTTCTAGAGGTCATCCTCAGTGACACTTGAAGAAAAATATCTTCTCTTAGTCTTTATTGTATATATACCTTGCCTGTTGTTCACATCCCTGTCAAGGACACGTACATCTCTCAGGTTATCTATTTGTTTTTGTTTTTGCAGATTGGTGTACAAAGTTTGCATACAATCTTGACAGTGAGTCTCCCCAAAAAACTATTCAATATTAGTAAGACTTGTGATAGGGGAAACAGTCTTATTCAGAGTATGATTCTGAAATATCATAACCTCAGTATCCGGGATGAAACAAGTTTTTTGTCTTGCCTGATAACTTCCCAGACGTACTGCAAGTTGGCGAAGGGGTCAGTAAAGGTCAGGGGCAGAGAGAGAGAGAGAGAGAGAGAGAGAGAGAGAGAGAGAGAGAGAGAGAGCGCGAGATGAGGAGAAAAACGTCCAAACAGAGGGAAGTAAGAAAGGAACAGTAGACAGGCAGATTAATAGACATAGAGGAAAAGAGAAAACTTACGTGTGTGTGTGTGTGTGTGTGTGTGTGTGTGTGTGTGTTTTATGTATATGTTCTTAAATACGGACCGCAAAGAGACAATTTCTTCCCTAAGACGACCAAGAAAACGGGCCCACAGAGAGACACATTATGCTCAAGTCTAATTATACAACGTAATACAAAGATATACTTTATTATTATATGTAAAATACTAACAAATTTTATTCAGTTATATTGAAATCATCCTAGTATGTACACAGCTTTTATTATTGTCAATTTTAGTAGGAGTATACATAAACTGTACCAAATAATACAGGAAATTTGTTGGGATATTATACAATGGAATACATCAAACTTCATAAGGACGAGATGAGAAAGAACTTGGTCATTATGAAACAAATAGCGAAGATCTTAGTTCATTTTATGTGGGAAGAGGGCAGTATGTCATGACGTCAGAAGTTAGGATAGGGAAGTTGTCTAATATATCCAAATTAGTTGAGATAGAATAAGAGAAGTTGTCCTCGTAATATATTATATGAATAATAATTTAGATAATTCATATAACATGAAAATTTTAAAGAGATTAATTAGAGAAATAGGTGTTAGTGACGTCATGATTTACCCAAGCCAAGCCAAGTTTTCGTGTTACAGTAATATTTGGATTTACTTTTAATTTGAGTATCAGTGAACCACAACTGTTAGGAGCCAATATGAAAGATATTAAATATTTAATGTTTTATATAATAGTAACAGATTCTATTGAAACACAACTCTTAACATTGTTCTTGTAGCTCTGTCATAACATATACATTAATCAACTGAATCAAACTAAGAACACACACACACACACACATATAGTATATATATATATATATATATATATATATATATATATATATATATATATATATATATATATATATATATATATATATATATATATATATATATATATATATATACACAATTAGGTAGTACATCATAATCTTAATATAAATTCTTGTTACAAGTTCTTTACTGTACAGTCCGGCTCACTACTGCACTCAGTCCTCCTTGTCTTCAGGTAAGCAGAGGAACAACTTTTGGCAGATGATGGTCATTTGGTCTGGAAGTTGATGACATAACTCAAATTAGTTACTGTATATTAGAGTACATTCATTTCCACTAAATCAGGTATATATTGTAGAGTATATGCTGATAACCACATTGGAAAGAAACACGAAGTACACTAGCGTTTTCGTGTAATGTCATTTATGTCTACCCGCCTTAGGCGCATTTCATTATGAAGTAATATCCTAAATTAATGTGTTAATAATAATGTAATATTCTTCAACAAACGTCACCTCGGGGACAACAGGAGAAGAAACTCTACGCATGGCCTCTACCCTACCTCAGGTGTCTCACTGCACTCACGTTTTCCTTCACTCTGGTGTGGGAGACAAATCTGCGAGAGTCGTCATCCTTAATTCGCGATTGTGTCTTTTGCGTGAACGTGATGGGAAGGGGAGAGAGAGAGAGGAGGGAAGGGAGGGGGGGGGTGAGTACTTTACAGTTACTAACAACGGTGTAATAAAACTACTGGTGACGAAACGTTGAAAGCAAATTCACACTAACCCAAACTTGCGGAGAACCAGCGGGCGATGTCCTGGCGGTATATAGTGAGGTAGTAGACAGGGAGACCCGTGATGATCACGGTGATGCCTCCCACCACCTCCAGGGGCGTCATTATGATGGGGATCAACAAAAGGAAGAGCTGCGTCAGGGAGAAGAGAATAGGCAACACCAGCCACACCTGAGAGAGGAGGAAGCAGTGAAAGAACACCTGTAAGGTTATTAGAGAGAATTACTTTTACTTACATCCAAAAGAGAAATTAAATAGAGCGTCTCTTTAAGAAAAATGAAGAGCAGCTTTTCCATGAACAATAAAGAACGTCTGTGAAGTAAAGAGTAGAACAATCAACGCCAGACATCACCTGGGCTACACCTGCTGAAGGGCGTAAACAAGAGGAAATAACTGGATCACTTGCAAGATTAGCCACCCTAGCTTAATTAACCTGATAATTAAACACCCTAGCGATAATCTAATCTAACCTAATCTAAGTAAACTAACCTAGCATAACCTAACCAACTTAAGTATTGTTAGGATGTTAATAACCTGTATATCGGTGGAAATAAGCTAGAATGCCTTATCTTCAGGTGGTCAAAATATTTATAGCAGATAACAAGAGAATGGTGATCTCGCAGGTAAACATGAGTTAAAATCATTAAGAAATCCATCTTACAAAATGTAGCATCTACCATTGTAATTTCTATAAGCTTTTTGGCTATCTTTAAACAGAATTATGTACAGGCTCTCTGACTTAACTGAGATACGTTTTTCGCACGTGAGGGATATCGTCTTTTTCTCTTCTCAAGTGTGGTTTTATATCAGCCAATGAGCGCCTCTTAACCACTCTCAAATATTTCTAAAATATTTCATTATTTCAACTAATATATGTAATAGGTATAGTTTCTTGCCGATAAAAAATAAATGTGTTATGGCTAAAAATGTTAACAAAGACCTATACTACATATAAATTACCTATGAACTGCCTATAGTCCCTATGTCAAATAAGCTCCACTTTAAAATAGTCTCCATCTATATCAACCAAACCTAGTTATTACGAACGAAACCTCAATAAGGATCCAAATACATTAGAACATGGGGCCATTAAGACTAAGGTCCATCTAACGGTTCAATCACCTGGTTTGCTTACCTTAAAGGGTCGGTTCCAGCTGGGGTATTTATATCTGAACCAAAACAGGGCACAGATACAGGAGAACTGCATGGCGGTGGCGCTGAAGGCGGTGTAATTGATGAGGGAGGATATGTCAGGCACCACCAGCATCATCACTATCGTTACCCCCTGAAGTGCATGAAGCAAGAAGTAAAAAAGTAGTAAACACTAGAGGAGAATGATCGAGGGCGAGTTGCGAAGAAGAAGAAGAAAAAATATAACCAATAATAACGACATTAGTGATAATATTGAAAACCATAATTCTATTTATCTATCTATCTATTTACCATCCATCCATCCATTTATCTATCTACCTATCTATCTATCTATCTGTCTATGTATCTTTATATCTATCTATATATCTATCTAAGCAGGTGGAGGAACTGACATTAAGTATAGCTGCAGGTACTGGGGTGTAATTCTTGGCACTGACGAGGGTAAGTGCTTGGGGGAACTGGCCTCTCCTGGCACCCACGAAGATGAGACGGGTCTGGGTGAAGACTGAGGCGTGAGTACTGCCGAAGGTGGAGCACATGACAAACACGGGCATCGTCCACGCTAGCATCCCTAACATCCGAGAGGCGAACGTCTGCAAGGGAGGAAAAAAATGGACGTGTTACTGTCAGAAAATAATGTGTCCAGTGTAAACAAACTGCATGGTAAAAAAAAAAAAAATAATCGAAAAAATGTAAACATCAATAGAAGAATACAGACACTATTGAGAGTAAACAAACATTATGAAGAGTAAACAGATACAGTCAAAGATAAACAAACATAGTACAGACACTGCCAAGAGTACACAAGAACTTAAACAGGTACTGAAAGAAGTATACAAAAACGGTGTAAAAAGTTAGGAGAAATACAACAGACAGCAGCCAGACCTAGACACCCACCATGGCCACGGCGTTTGACGAGAGCATCTCCGTCGGTGTGAGGACGGCGAAGTAGGCGACGTTGGTGAGGACATAGATGATAGTGATGAGTGTCGTTGAGATGATGATAGAGAGAGGCAAGTTCCTGAAACATGGTATAACAAACACATCTATAACACTCAGGTCATCGATTATAACAAATTCAGAAGTTCAGTCTGTCTCTACGTAACCTACACAAGATATAAACAGGAACAAATACTACTCAGGTACAATTAAGAGTTACAGGGAAGGTACAGGTACAACTACAAGTAAAAGGAAATTTTCAAGAAGTTGGCTGTATACAAACACACATTACGCAGGACCAAGGTGGGGGGCCTGGGGTAGGGTCCTTCTTACCTGTTCGGGTTTTTAAGTTCTTCAGTGACAACATTCAGATAGTCCCTGGAAAAAGAGATGTTTTAATGTATTGATGTAACTCAGAATTAGATTAGATTAGATAACAACAGTATATATATCAAGAGAGATTCTGTAAATGGTCTCATATTAGTAAAGAACAAACGTATTTTTTATTCGCGACAGCAGTCAGAATATTTCAAAATCATCAAATTGAAATGGTGATGCTGATAATTATTGTGGGAAATTAGTAATTATATGATTATATTAATGACAATATTGTTGATGATACAAGTAAAACTTATGCTACTACTCCTATTACCTATAATAATAATGATCATATCATAAAGAAAGAGTTCATCGTAATTATTATAACACCACAGCCTACAAATAACCTCGATAAAGTGGACTTGTAGGAAGGTTTACACCCAGAGATAATAAAGTTGTATTTAACATTGCCTCTTGACCATCACTTTTATATTACAACATATAATTATGTGTCCGTAATTTGTGTATTGTATGTGCTCAACTCTCGAGATGTGTTAACTTGACTATAAAAGTTAGTGAGGTTAGGAATTATCTGTCGAGGAGTAAAAGTTTCAGTAGCTTCTGAGTTCTGAGACGTCCCCCTAAACTATATAGCTTCTTCATTTTCACACACAGACAGATCAGTTCCCACACCTACCAGCCAGTGTAGGAGAAGAGACTCTGGTAAAAGGCAGTGGCGATTGCTGCCACTTCCCAGGTGGTGCCAGCCATTGGATTACGGTAGTTCTCGAGGTGTCCGGTGCCAAGGTGGTAGCCGCCTGCACAGATGATGACACATAGGGCCATAACCTTGGTCAGTGTGAAAACATTCTGCAACTTCGTCACCCAGCGGACGTTCACGCAGTTCAACCACGTCAGGAAGACTTGGGGAAGATAGGGACGTAGTTGTGGTAGAGTTTGGATTTTTAGTTTAGAGTTTCATGTTTATATAAATACACTGTTATAGATTTGTTTCTCCCCACATAATAATTCATGCTGTTATATATTATAGGAGGATTCAGTTACACCACCGCCTTATACCCGCGGAGGAAAAACAATGAAAAAATTATCGTAGTGTACCTTTGTTTACCATTAGTCTGAGGTTCATGAAGACACAATACTGTACAGTAGAGCCAAGTGTTAGATGGACCTGGTGAGATTTAATGAGGAACGATGTTGTGTCTGTAATCCTCGATATAACTCAAGTTTTAAATGACGATCAAGACACTCAAGTCTGTCTTTGATAAATGAAAGTGTTCACATTTAGTTTCGAATATCGTAAAAAAAAAATTGGTCTCAGAATTGATAATATTAAAGACAGCCAACTCGACATTAACAACTGACTCGATTACATGAATGAGATAGATAGAGAGAGGGATAGAGAGAGAGAGAGAGAGAGAGAGATCCGGGAACACACTTATCAAGGCAGCTGCTATGAGCCTGGCTGGTATGGTAGGTACAGTCTCACAGTCCGACAACCACAGCTGGAGGAAGTAGTTGGCGAAGGTGATGGCGATGACAGCAGTCCCGGCCGAGTTCCTGGTGAGTATAGTGACCCACATGTAGAGGAAGGCGAAGACGGGTCCAAAGGCTCGGTGTAGGTAGCTGTACATCCCGCCGCTCTCCGGGATCATCGTGCCTGAGGAGGACAGTATAGAGTTAGTCACTGGGGGAGTTTTATCCTAAGTGACGCTAGAAGGACCTCGTAGGTTTACACATAATAATTTCGTTCATACTGACCCAGTTCGGTGAAACAGAGAGCCCCCACCATGGAGAGGAGCCCACAAGCGACCCACACCGCCAGGGACATGCCCACGCTGCCGCTGTACAGTAACACGCCCTTGGGGGAGACGAAGATCCCAGAGCCCACGACAATGCCAACGATGACCGCAACACCCTCCAGCAGACCCAACTCCTTCTTCAATCTCACCGACGACGAGTCCGTGGCATCGTCCTTTTCCTCTTTGTTAGGTTCCAGGTTGTTCATTAGTCTGTCAGAGTCTTCTCTGGCCTCAGTATCGACATTCGTATGAAGGTTCACCGGTGACATCTTATCCTCTGCACTGTCGTGAGGTTCGTCTGTGTTGACCACATCGTAGGTGTCTGTCTTCGTCATGGTCATGATCTGTAAAGTATAAACTCGTTTCAGTCATAGTTGGACTATTAACTAATCCCTGAAAAGAATGGGTTAAAACAATTATGCTACGTTTGTGTATATTGATATCCGTATAATCTCTGCTATTTCACACACTAGATTTTACTAAATAAACCGAGAGGATTATAATTATTATTTTTTTTTTACGGGGAATAACCCACCCGGGCACAGGTAATCGACCCACAACGGGGCCCAGGGGGCGAAAAAAATAAGAGTAAAAATAAATTAAAAATAGAAAAGAAAAAGATTATATTAATCTACAAGAAGATTCCGGAAAACCATCTTTTTGAAGTGAGACACAGTGTATGAGCATGGAAACACTAAATACTGTGTTTTATTACTATTGAATTTAACCCAGTTTCTACCTCCCCATAAGGAGATGCTGCACAGATCCGCATTGGTAGATATATTGATATCAGCTCTGGAAAAAAGATCTAGTTTGCGAATTAGGGGGAAGGGGAAAATGTGAAGAAGAGTGAAGACTAGAATCATCAGCGTAAAAATGGATAGAATTAGTCGTAGTGTGAATTAAATCATTGATAAAAAGAAGGAAGAGAATAGGTGAAAGAACAGAACCCTGTGGGACACCACTATTGGTAGAGAAAGAGTTAGGGTCCTTGTATAGAACTTCACCCGAACAGAGGGGGAGACTGTTTGCAGCTGACTCACGCGAGACTGTTCCGCCAATCACCGTGAGTCTTACTGTCACACGAATATGTCCCACCAATCAGCGTTGCTCTCAGTGTCACGCGATACTCCTGCGCATACTCCGAGTTTTGAATTTTACTCTTTTTTTTTTTTTTACGGGAATTAGCCCACCCGGGCACAGGTCACACGACCCACAACGGAGCCTGGGGGGCTAGTTTTCTGGTCGAAAAATGGCTTCTCTGTGCGCAGGTTTTCTTTCTCGTCTTGGCAAATCGTTCTGCGTGTATTTGAAAACGAAGCCGCTGCCATTGACATTTTTATAAGGCTCACGGTATTCTGCCAACCTCTGTGAAGTGCCTTAGGCGTTCATACGGAAAATATAGAACGATTGTGAAAGGATATCAAGAGTTGGGTGTTTCGTACCGAATACAAAGATCATAAGTCTATACTCCACCACTTCCTCCTACAAGTAGCATCACTGTATCCTTCAACATCTGTTAATTAAAGTAAGTTTTTTGCACACCGGCGGTTAGAGGTTAGCTCAGGTCCTTCTGGTTTCTCTGGTTAGGAAGTTTCGTTAGGTTTGGTTTCGTCAGTATTTTGCATGCTTTTACCCCACAATTTCCCTCTACTTCAAACTCCTGTCCACTTTGTGAGACCAATACAGTTGGAAATTCGGGAGAGGGGGGGCGGGTCAAAACGGCTCATTTGCAACGGAAACGAAGATCAGATTCGCTTGGAACAACACAAAATACACTAGAAATTTCACATTTCTAGTAATTTCCTTGGTCGACAAAGTCCGAATCTTTACCAACAGTAGTGTTTTGTAATTTGTTGATGAATTCTTTTGACTTCAAATTTCCTGGATATCTTTAGCAATGGAGGAAATTTTAACGATAGTTGGTTAAGTTGATTGGCGAGTGTAAGCATGGGTCGGTGCTGGGAGTGAATCATTTAAATCATAACATAGGACGCTGTTTTCATTCGCATCACGGCTCTCATGCAAAAACTCCCAGACATATGAGTAAAACGCACAAAAGAATTACATAATCACGAGGAAACTAACTACGTGGAAACTGAAAACATGAATATCGTTTCTTTAATAAGGGTTTCTACTTTCGGTTTCTATATAGTTTTTAATTTGTTTTGTTAAGAAACTTTCAATACCTTTCCTGTGTACAGAATCACATATGTTTAAGTCTGTGGGGATAATTATTCAAATATTTGTAATAATTGTTTAAGATTACTATTATGTACGTATCTCTTCTGACTGTCTGTAACTTTTGAAAACTCTTTAGCATCTATTACGAAGGAGATACAAAGAGAGAAATACTTGGAATAAGATAACTTAATTAAGAAGAAGAGGATAACGAGGGAAATCTTAAAATAGGCCTATGACAAAATCTCTGGATGTAAAAGGTCGGTATGACTCAAAGGGCATTTTAAGAATTTGTGATTTCTTTTATTTACGCGTCTTGTGATCTTTTGTGTTAATGGAACGATGGTGACTAGAAATTATGTAACTTGTGTGAGTAAATGGCGTATACTTTGTTCAGACAGTTGATGGTGAACTGGCCTTAGTTTGTCATGGTTGCTGATGTAGGGTCAGCTTCTCCCTGTCTCAGTCTAACCGCTTTTCTCTCTTTCATTCATTTTCTATCTCCCTCTTTTTTTATCTCTCTCTCTTTCTTTATCTCTCTCTCTTTCTCCTCCCTTGTTTATTCTTTGTGTCTGATTTGTCTCTCTTTTCCCCTCTGTCTTTCTTTTATTCCTTTACTTACATCCCGAAAGAAATCTCTTTTTAATAATAATAATAATAATAATAATAATAATAATAATAATAATAATGATAATAATAATAATAATAATAATAATGATAATAATAATAATAATGATACTAATTAATCCAACAATGGAAGGCTTATCACGAAAGAAGAGACAGAACTTCACACTGTACAAAAAGTTTACATAACAAGGAGTTAGCAGGAGGTGGAGGAGGAGGTGGACTAGACAACACACCCTCACAAACAAACACCTGACACCAGCCACCACTTGAGGCTGACCACAGCATTCATCAGTACAACACCCAGGTCAAACAAGATTCTTTCAACATTTGTTTTTTTCGGGTATTTCTTTGTTGACTCTACACAGGGTTGGTTTATAGCTGGTGAACGCTGGATATTTAATTAAAGATTTTATCAGAATATCAACTTCCTCAAGAGATTCAGTTTTGCCTCGCGTGGGGGCTAGTTTATTGAGCACCCTCTTTCCTCCGAATCACAATCCACCGGTTATCGAAGTCGTACGGTACAAAGAAAACTATTATCTGTATCAACATTATGTCATTCCCTCCAGACAGCAAAAAAAGATAAAATTATAAAAAAAAATAATATTAAATTTACCACGAAACGTAATCATGACACTTAAGAAATTGTCCTCATTAAAGCTTTTCTCAAAATCATTTGCCTCTCACATTCCCAGACACATTTGCCTCTAACATGCTTTTGTTTTTGGCTGAGATAAATGCATCTGAGTCTTTAGAGAATAAAAGAAGAATTAAGTAAAGAATGGTGTTGAGTGACTTACCACGTGTTAGGAGGAAAGTAGGATCATGTTGACCGACTTCCACATCTCAGCACATACAAGGAACCGGTTCTTAAAGATTCGTTCATTTCTCTTCCCCTTTGTGACTGGGGACTTAAAAGCCTCACACACACTCACACATCTATTTACGGTATCTATTCTAACTCCGGTTCTCAATTACCATCTATCGTGACGTAGGAGTGAAGTTTGTATATACACCACGTATGTAAAACCTAATTCAAAGTGGACTGTCTACCGAACGAAGCTATGAGCGCTGGGAGATGTTGATTCTGCGGGGTAAATAGTGCGTTGCAGTTCTTATCTGTCCACTCAGACTTACTTGATGAAACAAGCGTTCAAAGGTCAGGAGTGGTAGAAGAATACTTTGTTTTGTTTTGCAAGCATGAGAGAGAGATGAAAAGAGTATGAATGGGAAAGAAGTAATTTGAGGGGATGGGTATGGCACAAGGAGGAGAGAGAGAGAGAGAAAGAGAGAGCGATAAGTAGATACACTGGGAGATGAAAACGAAATAAAATAAGTCAAGAATATACGTTCCATACTTCATGTAGCTGATCAATGGTATAATTTAGAAGTAAACCAAAAAATACAATACGCAAAGGCTAAACGAAAAACACACACACACACACACACACACACACACACACACACACACACACACACACACACATACACACACACACACACATCATTATACCTCTAAATAGCAAAACAATACAACATTGTCAATCACTATGTCAATATTTATGTCTTTTCTTTACATATGGTAAACATCCTTAATGTTACATAGAAAAATAAACAATACCCAGAGCACAGAATTAAATAACACTTCTTGCTTAATTTTTATTCATTTATTCTCTTGGAAGAACACAAGTAAACACTAAATTATCCCTTTACAGAATAAAATCCTTTAAATTGTTATTGGTTTATGTTTAAATGGGTTTAAGTATCCAAGTTTCTTGCAGGAAAAGTTAAAATGGCAGTAGTATTAGAAATAATAGTAATAGTAGTTAGAGTAATGACAATAACAGAGGTACTGTAGTAGTAATCGCAGACATAGACTATGAGGCAACAGTCACTGAATGCGGCACGGATTTGCGTATTGTATGGCTATAAGTAATAGTAGTAGTAGTAGTAGTAGTAATAGCATTAGTAGTAGTAGTAGTAGTAGTAATAGTCATATTGACAATAGTAGAAGTAGTCGTAATATCCATATTAGTAGTAGCAGAAGTAGTAGTAATAGCCATATTAGTAGTAGCAGAAGTAGTAGTAATAGTCACTTTAATACCAGTAGCATATCATAAGCTGAGAAAGAGAAAGTTGTCTTACCGCTTACTAGCTGGGGAACTGACTGTACCACCTCCACCACCACACACCAGACACCCGTAACACTACACTGAAGGAATCACGCTCTATGCTCTGAAGGCTCAACCTACTCCCTACCTCCTGCACGTCACTTGCGCCCAACGTCAAGATCGCAGTCACTTTTAACCATTTCTTCTTCAAATACCCAACCTTTATATAAATTTTCACTGATGGTAGGATTTAAGTTTTACCTTCAACTCCAGAGCTACATTTGAGAAAGCTAGTGTAGTGGTTTATAGAAAATAGGATTGAATGATGAATGTGGTAGTCGGCAACGTAAGGTGGTCAGACTGGGACAGCTCATATGTTTAGGAGGCAAGTGCTATGTGTTTTAGTTTCAAGATGATTATTTGTACCTGTTTATAAGGTATAAGGTATCCCTTGTTGTGTTTGTATTAATAAACTCAATATTTAGTTCGTGTATATAATTATCAAAAACGGTTTTAGATGTGATGAACCTGTGAAAATGTTATTGTAATGCTTTCAACGTTTATAATTATCATTTTTTTTCCATTTATCGTTTATGGTTTTCGTCTAAAGATTTTATTATCCAAATTTGATACAAGATGAATGTTGCGTAATGACTTTGTGGAAAATGAGTGTGTGTGTTTGTGTATGTTTGTGTGTGTGTGCCATTATTAGTATCTGTTTCAGTGTAATCCTTTATGTGCTTTGTATATGTGTTTCTGGTATGTATTTGTGTGTGTGTGTGTATGTGTGTGTGTGTGTGTGTATTCAAGCATCTCTGTATATCAGTAAACCTGTGTCGGGAGGATTAAGTAAGTGTGAGGATGAAACCATTGCTCAAGGGTTCAAGTTCCTCAGCTGTACAAACTTACTAATTTAACATTTAAGGCTGACGAAATAATAATACGAATTATCTCTCTCTCCCTGGTACATTTTTTTTTCATCTGGGCAACCAAGACACGAAAGCCTTGTGTGAAGTCTTGTGAAGTCTTACGTTACTAGAAAACTGCATTGCATCATCTTTTACCCTTATTATTATTATTATTAGTAGTAGTAGTAGTAGTAATAATAATAATAATAATAATAATAATAATAATAATAATAATAATAATAATAATAATAATAATAATAATAATAAAAAAAAAAAAAAAATAATAATAATAATAATAATAATAATAATAATAATAATAGTAGTAGTAGTAGTAGTAAAATGGTGGCTAAGGTGTGGCTAATGGGGGAGGCCACGTTAAAAAAGTAGTAGCAACACGGACACTGACCATTCCTTGCAACTAATACCATTGAGTCGGGAGTTAGAGTGTAATTCTAGTAGGACTGGGTTGGAGACGATGTTTTGTCTATTGGCAGTGAGATTAGGGATCAGCAGTCTGGAGAGTGTTTTGCTTCCCTGTTTCTTTGTCTGTCTCTCTATCTTTTTATCGGCTTCTCTCTTCCTCTATGTCTGTCTCTCTTTTGCTATCTATTTCCCTTTATTTCTGTGTTATCTCTCTCTTTATTTATATTTTTTCTACTTCCACCTCTGTCTCTCTCTTTCGCTATCTCTCACTTATTCTCTTTCTATCTCTTTATGTTTTTCATTGTCTCTCTCTCTCTTTCTCTAATCTCTCGTTTTATCTATCTTCTCTTCTTTCTCTATATCTTTCACTAACGAGCCTTTTCTGGAGTCTTATCTTTATCGGCCTGTGGGGTATGAAATTGTTTGGTTCACACTCAGGATGGGTTGGAGAAAGGAAACTCACAATGTGCTCTCTATATACATGTTGTATTGGATGTACAATGCAGCTTGGTGCTGGGAAGGCAGCATGGTTACAAGCGTGATGTAGAGAGAGCTGGCTGGTGAGGACGCTCAGAGAAGGACAGCTTGTGGGTCGCCATGCTCGCCAGCGGGAGAGAGGACCGCCAGGCAGGCGGAGGAGGAGGAGGTGTTGCTGGCTGCGGCTGTAAGTAGAAAAAGAGATCACCACGAGGTCAGGTCTTAAATAGCGGGGGTAGGCGTGGCTTAGCAGTTGACCCCCGCTCCGTGGTGTATGGCGGCGCTGGTTGACCTAGACCACAAGGCATACACTGGGAAATTGGTGGGGTCGGCTAGGCAGCGACAAACAGCGTTTGTAGGGGAGAATTCCACTACAATACTCCCCCTTCCCTCCAGGCGGTGTAGGAGACTTGTTGCCTGCAGAGTTGCTTAGCACATGTGAGGCAGAACGGGCGGTGCATACCTCATGTGAGACAACGGCGATGGCGTGGATGAGCCGGTCGCTGGATACAACTGTCTATATACACACTATCTGTGGGAGAAGAGAGGGAGAAAAAGGGTGTGTGGAGGCGATGAATGTTGTGCTTCCCTCACGGCAGGTACAGAGTCGTCAGATGCGCCTGCTGGGGTGTGTGTGGGCCTGGGTCAGGAACAGGGGCTGCGTCAGCAGAAGCGGATGAGGGCTCGTGACAGCAGCAGGGTGCAGGACATTAGCAGAGAGTACCTGAGGGAGAAAAGAGGGGTGTGTGGGTCCGCACTCAGGAACAGAGGCCGCGTCAGGGGCGGCAGGGGTTACTGCTGGGCCGGGGTCGGCGTCTGAGGCAGGACGGGTGTGCTGGGGTCGGTAGGACGTGGTGCTTGGGGGCAGGAAAAGGAGCTGGTGTCGGCTAGGAGAAACAGTGCTGCTCTAGGGTGTCTAACCTGCGGTGTAGAGACAGTAGTTGTAGAGTCGATGAGAGCTGCTTCTGGGTGGATAAGCCAGTCTTCCATGTTGCTTGAAGACTGGGAGCGTGATCAGTTTCTCCTCCATCCTGTGTGAGTGCGAATCTCCGGGAGTCACCATTTGTGGGGTATGAAATTGTTTGGTTCACACTCAGGATGGGTTGGAGAAAGGAAACTCACAATGTGCTCTCTATATACATGTTGTATTGGATGTACAATGCAGCTTGGTGCTGGGAAGGCAGCATGGTTACAAGCGTGATGTAGAGAGAGCTGGTTGGTGAGGACGCTCAGAGAAGGACAGCTTGTGGGTCGCCATGCTCGCCAGCGGGAGAGAGGACCGCCAGGCAGGCGGAGGTGTTGCTGGCTGGTTGGTGTAGGTAGAAAGAGACAGATCACCACGAGGTCAGGTCTTAAATAGCGGGGGTAGGCGTGGCTTAGCAGTTGACCCCCGCTCCGTGGTGTATGGCGGCGCTGGTTGACCTAGACCACGAGGCATACACTGGGGAATTGGTGGGGTCGGCTAGGCAGCGACAAACAGCGTTTGTAGGGGAGAATTCCACTACAGGCCTGTCTCTCTATTTCTGTTGTCTCATCTTTTTCTGTCTGTCCGTCTTTCTGTCTGTCTCTTTCTCTCTCTAGCTTTAGGTTAGGTCAGGTTAGGTCTCTTTGTCTACTTGCATATTGAGATGTCATCATGCCACACGCTACATTTTCCTCTGAATTAAGCTACAGTATATTATAGAAGTAAAAATTAGCAACTCTTGTGTTTATTCTTAGTAACTGTATGCGTTTTGTGTTAATTTATAGATAAGACATTGTTCGTCCTTACAACTAAAATACCATAGCTTGGCCTCTGATGTAATTTCTAAACTATTTTCTATAAGAAGAATTTATAGAAAACGAAACCAATGTTGAGAGTTTCATGGGAACCTACTGTAACTTTTGCTTAAAGGCGATGTGGGGTCCTAGGAGAGCCAGTAACATTTTTATTTCACTGTTAGAATATGTTTTATAATCTTGGATATATATATAACTTGGTATATTTTTTCGAGCTTAGAATCTTGATTAGAATTTTGATTTTTTTTCGGAATACAAAAGCTTGATAAGAACTTACAAGGTTTTTTAAAACTAGAAACTTGATTAAACTTGAAGAAGGTTTATATAGTATTAGAAGCTTTTTTCCCACATTTCTGCTTATTACTTATTAAATCTTTTCTTATCTATACGGAAATAGAAAGTACTTTATTAGACAATGTACAGAGAAAGAGAAAACAGAGAAAGAAAAACACAGATATATATAAAAAGATGCAGTAAGAGAGAGAGAGAGAGAGAGAGATAGAGAGAGAGAGAGACATTTCTGTACATATAAACATCAAAATCCTTTCTCTTATATACCTTCAGCATATTCCCTTAACAACCAGAATCCTTATTAATAAAACAAAACAACTAGCTCACAAACAACCGCATGCTTACAACAACCCACTACACTACACCCGACACTTCACAGGACTGGTAGACAAACAGTTGAATATTTACCCCTTAAAGTTATTCAAGAGACATGTAACTTGGATTAAGGTGTTTATAAATGCCCAGAGAATAAGAATCTATACCATTTCCAGCGTGTCTTTTTATGTGTATGTTGTAGTAGTAGTAGTATATACAGTATATATACAGTGGGGTATGCTATAACGAAAGGTTTTACCTATAAAATTGAGAATGCTATAACGAACGCAACTCCTACAACGAACGCGGATGAATACGGGACTACTTCGCCTGGCGCATGAATATTGTTGTACCGCGACCCACAACAAGAGCGTCAGGCGCCATCTTTGTCTCATTGTGCACCGCTGTTATTGTTGAAATTTCGTCTTTTAATGTGGAAATTCGCGTTATTTGTACAACTATTTTGTTGTACAAGTATACAATTGTAACAATGAATCGTCCAAAGCGAGTGAGAAAGCTAATAACCCTTGAAACTAAGAAAGAAATTATAAAGAAACGTGAGAATGGAAGAAGCATTGCGAAACTTAGTGATGAATATGGGATGACTAAATCGACTATATGTACGATTTTGAAGAATAAAGGGGAGTTAAAAACAGTGCAAGTGGCTAAGGGAATCTTTAGACTTAGCAAAGCAAGGTGTAATGTGATTGAAGAGATGGACAATTTACTCTTAGTGTGGATAAAGGAGAAAGAAATGGCAGGTGGTAACATTAGTGAAGTGAGAAGACCAAACAATTGTTTGAGGACCTTAAAGCCAAGACTCCCAGTGGAAGTGATAGTGATGTGCCAATGTTTAGGGGTACCTGCATGCTGAATAACACTAAGGTAAGATAAAGTACAGTATTTTTTACATTTTCCACAGAATTTTTTCAGTGTTAAGTGGTTGTATTTGGGGGCCTGGAACGGATTAATCCTATAAC